GACACCATGCACCATTTAAGACAGAATTGCGATATTGAAAAGGTTACAACGGAATTAATTGTAGATTTTTTGTTGTGGAAAAAAATTTTAGTTTTCGTTTTTTAAGAAAAAATGGTATGTAGTACTAACTTGACACCATACACCTAGTCAATAAAATTGAAATATTGAAAATGTTTCAACGGCATTAATGGTAGCTTTTTTGTTGTAAATTTGTTGTGGAAAGAAAAAATATGTAGCTTTAATTTTTTAAGAAAAAATGGTATGTATTGCTAACTTGACCCATACACCTAGTCGATAGAATTGAGATATCCAATATGTTATAATGCCATTAATTGTTTTGACTTGAAAATTTGTTGTGAAATGGAAAAATTTGGAGTTTTCGTTTTTCTGAAAAAGTTGAGTTGACCGTTTTTCGAACAAAATTTAGTATGTAGTGCTAACTTGACACCATGCCCCACTGTCGATTAAATTATGATAGCAAACATGGGATAACGGCATTTATTGTAGCCTGCTTGTCGTAAATTTGTTGTGGAAAGAAAACATTTGTAGCTTTCGTTTGTTAAGAAAAAAAAATGGCATGTAGTGCTAACTTGAGACCTAGTCGATTATCCAGCAATTATTTTTAAAATGGGTGACAGGTAATAAGATCAACGGAAATAAGGTCAATTGACTTTATTTTCCACCCTGGTGCGAAATAAAGTCAATTGACATTATTACCTTTTTAAAAACGAAATAAAATCCATTGCCATTATTTCTCTTTCAAACATTAAATTTGCTTAGCTTCGCGGCGGCCCCGTCAGCGCGCTACACCGCGCGACCGGCGCGCACACCACGTCACGCTACGCCGTGAGATTCTGACATAAAAATCCACCTAAGCTTTAACTGTCATCAGTGATATTAATGCTACCTTATATAACGACAGGTAATAAGTCCCAGATGGTTTCTAAAATCACAAATTAGTTTTTGTGCAAATTGCAGATAGAGGGTATTAATGAATTCAAGCCCTCGATATTTCACATTTTTATATTTGTAAGTTATTAGAAGCAGGGATGCCAACTTGGCTCAAACCGTGCCATTTGTCCCTATTTTACTTCAAATGGCACTTAATTTTTCAATTATTTGGCACAAAGTGCCAAAATGGCACTTTTGTAAAAAAATTACATTTCAATAAATTTTTGTGAAATCCTTTGCGTGCACTTCTTTTTCTCAACTAAAATTTTCTAATTTATAAAGGCTATTCAACTGGTTTATCTTATTTTATCATTGCACTTTTGTTTGGAAAATGTGGCTTTTTTTATTGCTAAATGTGAATGATTAAAAGGAATGACACCATTTTTGGCACTTTTATTTTTCTATTTGGCACATTTATAGAAAGGTTGGTTTCTTTTCCACCTTAGACATTCCGAATTCGTTCAAAATATGCTAATTTAAAACAGAATTCTTTCAGGGTTCCTCCGGGGTTTTTGGTCATGGACTGTTTCTTCAACATGTATTGCAAGTTATGGATCATTTCTACACTCTTTCTTCAAATATTTCTCGTGTTCCAGCTGTGCGTTTAGTTTTTCGCATCGTGTTTTTACATATTCGTAATTTAAATTGTTTTAATACAATCATTTTGTGGTAGTTCATGATTGTGTGTGGATTAATATCACAACACTGAGGATTTGGCAATAACCTTTTTCATTTATTCAAAAACAACACTTAAAGTGTTCTTACACGATATGTATTTGCGTGTGTACATGCCATTTTTTACATATGGAAATGCCAACATATCGTGTAAAGGCAAATTAGATTTGTTTCTGTAAAAAGCAGATGCAAGTACATACGAAATAGAAATGTTTCTATTTTCATCTGAAACTTAAATAGAATCATCTGAGTTCAGTTTATTTCGTTTTCAAAGAACGTATTTTTAAATAGTTAAATAAAGACTGCGAATTTGATAGACATTCGCAATTACATATGTATTGAAAAAGTCACATTACAGATGCAAATACATATTGTGTAAGAACACCTTTACGGGGCAATGTTTATTGTAAGAACAACATTTTTTTCTATGCATCGACATACTTTAAGCATTGTTGACGCTATTTCCATTTGAATGAGGAAATAGCGTCAATGACTTTATTTCAAAATTTTTGTTGACTTTATTTCGCTTTTGAAAAGGTAATAATGTCAATTGACTTTATTTCGCACCAGGGTGGGAAATAAAGTAAATTGACCATATTTCGCACCAGGGTGGGAAATAAAGTCAATTGACCTTATTTCCATTGACCTTATTACCTGTCACCATTTTAGAAGCAAGCGCAACAGCTGGTGGACCTAACAAAGTTGGTATTGCATTGACTGGAATGAGAACCAGTTATTCAGACATAGGAGGAGTTCTGGCTTGCGGTTCAACAATTCAACCAGAAGCTGACATAGATGCGGCCATGGTTACTATGCCCGACAGCTCCGCATATCATTGTGAAATCATTCCCATAACGCGCTCTTACTCCGCTGCTATAATTGCAAATGCTATAGAATCCATCGTTTCTTTCAAAACATGTAAAATCAAACAATGTTACTATAAATAAGCACTTGATGAGTGTTTTTTTAACTAAATTGTATTTCTCAATTTGATTTCTAGCATTGTTTATCATTTGAAACTAAACGTTTTCTCAAATTTTTATCAAACATTATTTATCAATTTAAGTTAAGAACGGTTTGCGAAACATTTGAGAAAAGTTTGTTAGCATTCCGTTCCGTTCCATCAATGTCAACTTGGCACAGATGTCGAAGTCCATCGGTAGTCTGCTACATCAGTCGCAAAATGGCTCTTTGACCACGCGGTCGCTGTTATTCGCAATTTGTGTAATTTAAAAAAAAAAAAAAAGTATGCAACAAATTGTTTACATCAACGGTATTTTTCTTTGTTAAACTAACTGAATAAATAAGCTATTAAATAAACTGTTAAACTGCACAAATAAAAATTACTTTCCTGTAAAAACTGTGTTTATCTTACATGTGTCATTGGCAACACTATACAAATGTTTCAATCGGTTTTACGTTTTTCGTAACGTAGCTACGAATTACGAATTTCGAAAATTCGGGTTCTAGAATAGGGGATATGAATAGACTTTTATAATATAATTCTGAAAATAAAAGTCTTTGAAGAGTTAAAAATATATGTATATCTTGCTGATAATTATTATCAAAAGACTTTTACTATATAAGTCTTAAAATAATAGTTATCGATGGCTTAAAAAAGTCTATCAAAATACTTTTATAATTCTTACGAAAATTTGGATGACTTTTTCAAAACTCCCCCATGAAATAATTATTATTCTAGGTCTCTGGTTATTTCACCTCAACTTACCTTACCCCACCTCAGCTCAACTCACGTCATTTATCTAAACTCACTTCACCTTCCACTTAAATTAACTTCACCTTACCTTAACTCAACTTAACTCAGTTGAACACACATGTATGAAAGTCTAAGTTCGGGCGGAGTCGAACATTAGACACCCGGCGCAAGTATTAAATATATGATTTTCACCTTTCTGAAAGCTACCGCTACATGGTAAGCCGGGGCGTATAAATTTTGAGTAAATCAGCGTCCTTAGTTTGAAGCGTTTCTGAATTTTACCGTTATATCAAAAGCGTTCAACGTTTTGCTTTTATGTGGTTACCGAGATACATATATGTGATCATAAGTGGGCGGTGCTACGCCCATTTTCCAAAATGTTATCATAAACGTATTTGTTGGTAAAGAATTGTTGAAAGCATCAATTTTGAATAAATTATCTTTAATATTTACTGATTTGTCCGAAGATTTCGTATTTCTCCAAATTACCGTTACATGGGATGTGGGCGTGGTTATTGTCCGATTTTAAAAAATTTCGGCCATTACATATATGTGATCATAAGTGGGCGGTGCCACGCCCATTTTCCAAAATTTTATCGTAAACGTATTTTTTGGTAAAGAATTGTTGCAAGCGTAAATTTTGAATAAATTAGCTTTAATATTTACTGATTTATCGAAGATTTCGTATTTCTCTAAGTTACCCTTATATGGAATGTGGGCGTGGTTATTGTCCGATTTTAAAAATTTTCGGCCATTTGGTATGCTGTAGCAAGGCTAACAACTGTGCCAAGTTTGGAAGAAATTGGCGCAGCGTTTACCAAGATATACACATGTAACCATAAGTAGGCGTGCCTACGCCCATTTTCCAAAAATTTATAGTATTCTTATTTTTCATCTAAAAATTATTGTAAATATCAATTTTGATTGAATAATCTTTAGTAGTTACTAAAATATTGCAGTTTTCGTATTTTTGAAAATTTCCGTTATATGGGAGGTAGGCGTGGTTGTTAGTCCGATTTTTCCTATTTTCAATACCATCCGACCCACGTCCGAAAGAAGTGCACGTACAAAGTTTCGTTAAGATATCTCAATTTTTACTTGAGTTATAATGTTCACCTAAACTAAAATATTCATCTTATTAGAGCTTTGAAATAAAGTCGATATTGATCGATATATATACATACATACATTCATAATTGCGTGTATTCTCTTCAGTTTTTTCTTGAGCAACATTTTTTATTTGTCTTAATTACACAAAAAAAAACAACACAACAAAATATCTAAATGTATTATTTTTGGGAATTATTTAATTTTTCAACAAATAGCTTTGCATACTGCATTAACTCAGATGACGAAGGTAACACTTCATCTGAAATACCAAGCATCACGGAGTCCGAGAATGGTGAAGAAGTTAGTACCAGCACAGACACAAATAAGTCCGAAGCAAAAGAGGACACATCTTCACAACTACCAGAAGTTTGTAATAATGAACTTGGCATATCAAATCAAACTACTGCATCAAAAGATAGTGCAGATGGCANTTTTTTATTTGAAAACATACGCATTTGTCTTGAAATACAATATGTCACAACAAAATATCTAAATGTATTATTTTTGGGAATTATTTAATTTTTCANTGTTCACCTAAACTAAAATATTCATCTTATTAGAGCTTTGAAATAAAGTCGATATTGATCGATATATATACATACATACATTCATAATTGCGTGTATTCTCTTCAGTTTTTTCTTGAGCAACATTTTTTATTTGTCTTAATTACACAAAAAAAAACAACACAACAAAATATCTAAATGTATTATTTTTGGGAATTATTTAATTTTTCAACAAATAGCTTTGCATACTGCATTAACTCAGATGACGAAGGTAACACTTCATCTGAAATACCAAGCATCACGGAGTCCGAGAATGGTGAAGAAGTTAGTACCAGCACAGACACAAATAAGTCCGAAGCAAAAGAGGACACATCTTCACAACTACCAGAAGTTTGTAATAATGAACTTGGCATATCAAATCAAACTACTGCATCAAAAGATAGTGCAGATGGCAAAATAAAAATAGAAACTTTGCCTAAGGAACGTCGAAGCGTTACACCAGAGCTACAGCGAAGTGCGCCAACCATTGCCAGTACACCGCTAATTAAGTTAGATTATACCCCGAAAGCGGATCTAATAAATTGTACACAAAACAAAGAAAATAAAAGTACTGAAAAGAAAAGGAGTCTTTTGTCGTTGTGCCACCAATCTGATGTTGTGATCACATCGTACTCACCCCGCGAAACCGGCGTTCGCATCGAAAAATCTTTTACAGCAGTTTGTAAGCCTTCAGCTACTTGTCTAGCCAGGACTCCCAGGAGCGTATACAGCACGCCGAAAAGCGTGCTCTCTGATTACAATGACGAAGGCAGTCGCGACTTTATTGATTTCACCACGCCGGCAACGTCGAAGAAAGCTTTCGGTTCACGTACGGCTGCCGGAAATTCCTCCATGCATTTAATTGATTTAACTACACCGAGCGTATTGGCACCAGCCAGCTCGCGTCGACGCCCTACTTTTAAATGCAATAAAACACTTCCCAGCGACGTCAAACTGTCTACCACTCCGCTCGCCTTTTCCAACGTAAAAGAAGGTCCAGAGGAAGAGGAGGGCGTTCATACGCTACCAGGGACTCCGTTAGTAGAGCCGTCGACCAGTAAATCCAATATAACACCACAAAGTGCTGAGTCAGTTATAAGTGTCGATGGTTCCACTGACTCATCTACTGCGGTAATTGAAATCTCGACAGAAGACTCGGCCACCCCCAGCACTAGTTCACCGTCCGTGCGTGCGGGTGCACCGTCGAAGACCCCACAGCGTGGTGGACATAAACAGGTAACTTCTACTCCACTGCGCACACCGCAGTCCCTAATGAAACGTGCCATATTGACCAGCGCCAAGAAGCAGATCAACACTCCACTACGTACGGCGCCCAGTAGCACCACGCCAATTCGACAACTACCCACCACACCTATGCGTAAAGTTAATATGGATGAAACTGGCGGATCAGCCCGTTCCACGCTTAAGGGACGCATCGCTATAGGATCTCCGAGTAACGTGGCTGCAGCACAGCGTCGCAGCTTCACGACAGGGCGCAGCTTGGCTGGTGCAAGCAGCACATCAACCCCCGCAAGGGAGCGTGCAATAACAACTTCCACTCCGCTGCAAATGGGTGCCACTCTAGGCAGGAAAGTGCCCGCTTCTGCATCGCGCGCAGCAGTAGCAAAGCGTACCTCACCACTACGAGGTGTGCGCAAATCATTCGGCAGCTCAACACTCACATCACATATTTCGAAACCACGGCGTTCGATTGTGCCTCCACGCAAACATTCACCAACATCCATCGGTGCTCAACTTGTGGCAAAAGCACGTAAGTCACTCTGCACCGCTAGCGCAAGCCGCAGTCAAGTAGCTTCGCGTGCGCGCAGCCTAGTTGCAGCTGCGATAAAGGGAAGCGGACAAAATGAAACTACAAATTTAGCATCGGAGAAAACAAAAAATGAGGACTTGCCTTCAGATACTCCAGGAAAAGAAGGGAAAGAGAATGTTTTAAGCGATAATGTTAAAAATGAAGTTAATGAGTTAAGCCGCACCTTCACTGTGGATGACTCGCTAGAGGAGGTGAATCTTAAAGCTGAAAATGCTTCTACTGCTCAAAATGTAATAGTTTCGCCGGTTAAACAAGATTCCATTAAACAAATGGACGCATCCATGTCACAAAATCAGGAAATTAATAAAACGTTTTCGCCAGAGAAATCAGTATCTGTGGTTGGGGCCGAGGCAGGGCCTGATATACCCGTTGATGTTGCAGAAACCATTGGGTTTGAAAAGCAAGAGAAGAGTGTGCAAGACTTCAAAGAAAATAAAGACAATAACGTGTCAGAACACATATCGGAAAGTTTCGCCGAAGTTGTCGAGTCGAGTGATAAACCAATAGAGACGACTAATCCACAAGAAGGGACAATAGCTAGTCAGCAACACCAGGAACGAAGTGTTAGGACTGAGCAATTATTAGGTACGAGTGCAACTACTTTGGAAACGGATCAGCAAGATATCTCTGCAGATTCTAACCGGATCAAAGAAATAGTAAACACTGCGGAAGCTGAAACGCAAGAGACTTCAAAAGAGTCCAACGATAGAGTTCTCGAGACCTTAGATGCAGATGAGGTAAGCAGTAGCGTCATGGTTGCACAACTAGATGCCAACGAAGCCGAAACCATTCTGGTCACTCCAGTGCCTACCGAAGGCCTTGAAGACGAAGGCGCTCCAAAAGCCACCGGGGAATCTCAAGGCACAGCGGAACTGCTGGAAGAGATCGATTATGTTCTGAATAAATCTGATGAATTGCAACAGCAGTTGGGCAAAGACATACATAACACGAGCAGTGGAAATGAGGACGCCGTTGAATTGGAAGCAGCGATTTCTGCGAACGTAGGCGAGAAAATCGAAGAGCTTGTTGCTAAGGATAATACCAACGTTTCACATAGTACGGCAATAGAAGGTGCTTTGACTGCTGAACAAGAAACAAATACCAACAAATTGGAAGCTGATGTGGAAGACTTTACAATCAGCGACCAGAACGCCGACAATGCTGTCTCGGAAGATCCAAATTCAAGTAAGATGGCCCCCGACGCTAAACCAGGCGTGAATGAGGATGTATCATCGACTGATTCTGATATATTGCCATCAACATCTGAGATCGTGTCCACCGGCTCGAATGCTAGTTCAGTGAAAACGGAAATGGTATCGATTACATCGATAACCACGCCCAGTGAGTTTGATGTGTCCACTACTGAAAGTAGCTCTGTAGAAAAGACAATAACATCAGAAGAGCAAGAAGGGGCCTCCAAACAACCGATAATCATAAGTGAAGTTGATCAAATTACAAATAACCCTACAGAACCAGAAATGAAGATGCTCGAAATAACTACTGCCGAAGTAAATACTTCTAATGCGCCAGAGTCTACAAAAGGCGACCTTGAAGAGAAGCCGGTAGATCATAGTGAAGGTGCTCCAAATGAGCTTGCGGATGAAACAAAAGCCACTAAAACCGAACCAAAATCAGATGATATTGCCTCGGAGGCTGCTGTGGTGGAGTCTGTACAAATTGAACTGATAGAAAATGAAGAAACCGAAATATTTGAAGAAAATATATTGTTTACCGATGATGAAGTAGAGCAACAAACTTCAGTGACCGACAAAGATATACATGCAACACCAGCAGATTGCGAAGCGAAATCGTTAACGATTGCTGTCCCGAATTCGAATAAATTCGGAAAAGTAGAGACAGATAAGTCTTTTATTGGCAATACGATGGCAGAGCCGGTTAAGGCAATTGAAGAATCTGTTTCAGAACTCAAGGGGTCTTCAGTGGACTCCGGGAAACCTGCAGTAAACCCCACATCAATCGAAAACGACTCCAACGAAGTGTCGGAAGCAACTAAAAAGCCAACGCAGGCTTCCAATGAATTTGCGACTATGTCAATTGACACCAACACAACTGTTATTGAGGTACATGAAAACGTCAAAACAGTTGAAGCAGTCACTAACGAGGAGGAGGAGGAGAAGAAAATCATTGCCGCCGATGAGGATAACAAATCCATTGACATCGCCACTGAAACTGGTGCCTCTGCGTTGGAGGGGCCCAAAACACCAAATCTCCGTGGTATACGTGAAATGCTGCGCACCCCAAAGCAATCACAAACCTCCACACCCCGTTTTATTGGCTTGCGTAATCTAATGCGCACTCCGAAGGCATCCACCAGCGCAGCAGCGGCGTCTGCTGCAGTTGAAGGTGACGAGGAGGAGCTGATAGGCATACAGACATTATTGAAAACGCCGCTTCAAAGCAGAATGAACGCACAAACTCCACAACTGGCAATTGATAGCAGCACTTATACGCCTCGACGCAGTGCTAGACGCAGAGCTTCAGCAAATGAGGATCTCACGCCGACTCGTTGTATAACACCAACTCTGGAAGTCGTCACCGAAGCTGGTACACCGCGCCGCTCCACGCGTCGTCGGGCTTCGGCATCAGCTGAGGTGAGTTACACGCCACATCGTATCACAAGGCGACGTTCATCGCTGTCGTTGGACAATGAGGAGGCCGTTGCTGCCTCATTGACCCCGCATAAACGTGGTGGTTTGCGCGCCAGACTAACGACTATATTGACAGAATGTTCAGTAGCCGAAGATATGGGTGCGATTATTGAAGAAGAATTCAAAGAAGCTGCACAGGAGTCCATTGGTGAGTGCTCTATATATACGCTCGCACCACTATATCTGCGTTCACCCTTGTTTTATTAAATATTCACAATGTTTTGCAAGCTATACTTTTTTTTTATTATTTTTGTACAAAAATATGGTTGATGCAATTAACAAAACCATTTATCAAGGTATCAAACTGTATACAATTTAAGGAAAATTTAATGAATTTTCATACAAATTTTAAATTTTTTACTCAGGTTTTTTACGAAAATTTCTGGTATGCAGTTTTATAGCCGATTGAAATTAGTATAACAATGTACAAATTTCAAGTGGGTCAGAAATCGCGTTGATTTTGAATAATTTTTTTGCTTACAGCTCTAGGCATTTTTCTCCATACAAGGTATGAGTGAATGTTTTGTTCTATGGAGAAAAATGCCTAGAGTCGTAAGCAAAAATAAAATATTAAAAATCAACGCGATTTCTCAGCCGCTTCAAATTTTTACATTGTTATACTAAATTCAATGAGATATAAAACTGCATACCAGAAATTTTCGTAAAAAACCCGAGTAAAAAATTTAAAATTTTTATGAAAATTCATTAAATTTTCCTTAAATTGTATACCATACCAGAAATTTTCGTAAAAAACCCTGACTAAAAAGTTTAAAATTTTGATGAAAATTCATTAAATTTTCCTAAATATTGTATACAGTTTGAAACCTTGATTGATATGGTTTTGTTTATAGCATGAATAATGTGACCAACCGTACATCTTTTTCGCTCTTGTACTTCCTACTTCGAAGTACAGTCAAATGTACTTCTTTGCGATATTTTGTACTTCAGGAGGGAGATTCTGTAACCAGTTAGCGACAATTTTCGGACCGCTATCGCACTTTTTGACGCATGATATAAATGTTTTTTTGTTTGCGCCGAAAAGTGCTACAGCGATTCGAAAATTGTCGCTAACTGGTTACGGAATCTCCCCCCAGGTCCTGTCCTTCTCCGATCTTCTGGACGGTCATCACATGGCCTGGGCGATAAATTCGTTCAAACCATTAAAGTCGCGGGGGACAAATGGCATCATACCTGCGCAGCTGCAAAGAGGTCTGAAGGTGTCGTACAATTGGTTGGATCCTATTTATGCGAACTGCGTGAGGACCGGGTACATCCTTAAGCTTGGAGGGTAGTCAGTGTTGCGTTCATCCCGAATGCCCCTGTTTCCCCTAGGAATTTTAAGCCTATCAGTCTCTTTGTTTTTGCTAAACACGCTTTTGCTAAACACGCTAGAGAGACTGATAGAACTTTACATAAGAAACGCGATTCCTCGTGACTGTCAGTGGTCAGAGGAAGCCTTCGCGCATGAAGATTATACAGTAGGGGTATTCTTTGATATCGAGGGGGCCTTCAACAATGTCACTCCAGAGGCAATAGTTAAGTATATTCATAATATGGGGGTGGAAACCAATCTAATAAGGCTTATATACAGCTTACTTGGTGACAGAACTGCCGGGCGGAGTGGGCGAGCGTCTGCACTCAGTGCAGAGTCAATAGGAGCAATCCACAAGGTGGTGTTCTCTCTCCCTTGCTCTGGATAGCGGTTGTAAACGACCTTCTAGAGGAGCTGGAAAAAGTGGGCTGTCGGGTGATCGCCTATGTAGATGATGTGGAACTTTTGATTAAGGAACGATTTCTATACACCCTGTTTGATCCGGCTCAAGGTTACCTGAACCAGGTAACTAGGTGGGTGATTAACGGCGGCTATCGTTGAAGCCGTGAGGAAAGGTGTCGGTGCCTTGTACTGCTATCAGTAAATGGTGGGGTCCCTCGTCTAAATGCATTCATAAGCTCTGGGAAACCAGATTTAAGCCTATAATTTTTCAAGGAGCCCTTGTCTGGTAGAACTCACTAGAGAAAGCTAGACTTGTAAAACAAGAATTAGCGGAGCATTAAGAACCACACTTACACTGAAGCTTAACATACATATGTTGAACACGGCGTCTGCGGATATTGCAAACAAAATTGTCGCAGCACGAACTGCTATTAGGATAAGGAAAACCGGGTCTTTTTGTGCCTAAAAAAAAGAAAAGAAGACGTTTCTCTGCTGCAGAATATGTTTTTATAGGGCACTTTAAAACACGTTACCTCAAGGGCTAGTGATGAAGGTTCTGACAGGCCATTGTGCGATTTGTATTCATGCGGTGAGACTTAGTATTTCAATTCATCCTTTTGATTCAGCTGTCAAGAAGAGGATGAAGTGGAATCATCTCCACACTTTCCTTTAGACTGTCCAACCTTCGCGAGGTTAAGATGGAAGCATTTCGGACGGCACTTCTGAACAAACACTGAGCTCGCAGGGATCGAAATTAGCCCCATTCGAAATTCCATAATGGGATCGCGGCGTTAATTTAACTCAACCTAAGCTGTACTTCTTTGAGCTATGAAATAGTTGGTCACATTAAGCATGAACCATATTTTTGTACAAAAATAACAAAAAAAATATTGTGAATATTTAAAAAAACAAAGGTGAACGCAGATATAGTAGAGCGAGTGAATATATTTCGATAAGTTTATATTTTTGTAAGGCATTTCTTTTATTTCTAGACATTCAACAACACAATTTGGAAGCTGATAAGCATTCTGTTGGTGAAATTTCGGAAGCAACTGGTAGGTTTAATGAAAGCTACGATATATTTGAAGGAAACTTCCCTCACTCTCTTCTTTCTGAGATTAGTAATTTGCCATTTTTGTATTATAAATTCGTATCATCTTTTCATTAAAAAAAAAACAAAAAATTTTCAATCATAGCATAAAAAGTCAGAACATAATTTAAAAAATTAATTATTCGGGGGGAGCAAGGCGAATTTATATAAGGTAGTGTTACTAGCTCAGCTGATTTTGTGTATGTGTTTCGCCGCACGGCTTCTGATATCAAATTGAAAAATTTTGTTTAAATTTCTACACACACTCTTACAGATTTTGACAGTTTATGCCGCCAAAGCAAAAACAAAATACATGTAAATTTTTGTTTTTGTACTCCTGCTATCACCTTATATTAATTCGCCTTGGGGGGGAAGTTTCACTTCTGTTGTGTTGCCTAGGCGCACTCATTTTGTTGTTAAAATTAAACTCTCATTGGTATGTTTCCATTTTTCCACGCCTTCAGAGCCTAACTTAGCGAAAGTGATTGAGGAGAGCATTTGTGAAGAAGTTAACACCAAAACGCAGCAGGACGTGGAAATAAACCCAGCAACATTTGAAGTAGTAAATGTAGAAAATGAAGAAAATTCGAATGTAATTAATGAAGGTAAGTTAAACGCATATATGTATAAATATTTTTAATATGTTTATATATGTATGTATATGACTGAAAAATCTTCTAATTGTAGTGCGAAGTGAACAAGCGTGTGAACTGCCTGACGATAATATAAAGTCTACTGACACAGAGTCTGAATGTAATATTTTGTTATAGAATTTTTTCGAATGTATTTCAAATTAACCGCACATTACTTTTAGGTCATCCGGATTCTTCATTCAACGAACTTCAAACAGATGAAAAAGACATCGTCCATAATACCTCAGATAGTACAGCTAATGCAAAGGGTATTGTTTGGTCCAATAACGTTATTGAGTTTATGCTTTAATCTTGAAATTTCTTCCATAGCGATAGCAACCAATGACGGAGCAGAAGAGCTGTCTGAAATTGACGCTTTAGTAACGGTAAAAACTAATGAATCCGATGAAATTCTAGATGAATCCGATTATGAATATGGCAAAGAAGTTAAAGAAGAAGCCAGAGGTTTGTATTTGCTATTTTTAGTAGAAAAAATAATAATCATCCATAGAGAGCAGAGATTTTTCACATGGTGTGGGTCCATATACAAGATATTTGTATATATGTACATATACATATCTTTACTTTTGGGCACCGAAGGAGATTCGTTTTAGTCTCATTGCTTTTTTTCCAAGCAGTTAACTTTTTGTAAAGATCTATCTAAGACATTCGATGCATGCTGTTCTGCTTTTTAGCCGGAGTTAGGACAACTTAAAATAACGATAAGTAAACTCTTCAGCATGGCCAAATATCGACAACGTGGGGAGAATTAGAAAAGGCTAATATATAATTGAGAATTCTTGTATGTAATGGGTAGACTTCAATACAGATAATAGTTCTGTTCGCCAAAAAGTCCAGCAGGAATTTTCTATTACTCAACATCATAAATTTGTTTGATTTTGACATAAAAGGAAGGAAGAACTCGTATCTGTGGCTAAAAAAATATAAATAGATCTAATCTGGTCACAGCCGCACGAGTGCTAACTACTAGCTGGTATTAACGGTTGCATTTCAAACATAATCAATTTATATGAAATTTTTTTTATTTATTTTTACCATTTGCAAATTATTGTTGTTCTCATTAAAAACGGCATCAAGCTGAATTGTCATTATATGTACCAAAAATAAAACCAGCTTCTTTCAGGCAGATTATTCATTCTTATTCTGACTTCCTTTACTTTGTCGTAGTAACCATCAGTTTCCTACATACATATGGCGACTAGTTCATTTAAAAATATGTATTATTATTCATTATATTATTTTTTAGTACCTAGCTAAAGTTTATTAATTTTTAGATTTAGCTAGTTGGTTCCATTCAAGTTATTGTCGATAAAAACGGATCCAAGTGTGTACAAATTATTTTCTCGGTGAACAAAACTAATTTACCCTAGCTAGCTTCCTAGACTTTGATGGTGCTTTCAACAACGACAAGACAGAAGCTATCAGTAAGCTACTGGTCAGACACGTCATCCAGCAGCCTACGTAAACGCTGTAGGCACGGTGCTTAAGGAGGCTAAGCACAATGTGTATATCGAATTTGGTCGAGATCGGCTTGAGTTTTTGGTTAAGAGCCATTGCATATATAAATTTTCAATAAATATTGATGAGCTCCTTAGCCATACTGCTCAACAAATCTGACCGTCCGGTACACACATATAAATTCAAGGCCGTCTTTTTGCTTAAATTGCTCCACTTCGACAATTTTTATTCAATTACATTAGGTGATATATCAATTTCTTCGAAAATAAATAGGGGTATTCTCGAAGTCTTGCACGATGCACGGATTGCACGAAATGCAAAAATACTATTCCAAATTTGGAAGAGTACGAGAGCATCCCATTGCAAAGTGGTAGCATGGATAGGTAGCAAGCAGCGAAATTCTGTATCAAATACAATAACAAGAGACAGCGAAAAAATGAAGCGAGCGGAATGAGAGAAAAATGTAGCAATTCCAACAACAAAACAACTAGCACAGGGTCGTATTTATTTTGCTATAATTTTTTGCAAAATATATACATTTGTTTCAACGTTGCATATTTTGCAGCGGTGGGAAATGTTGTTTCCCATGTATTTTGTTGATAGGTGTTTGCAAATTATGCAATCCGTGCAATCCGTGCTACGTGCAACGGCTTTGCAAGATTTCGAGAATACCCCTAATGTTCTCTTTGGTAAATACACCATATTTGGCAACTTTTATGGTCAACGTTGAAAAACTTAAGAAAAATAGGGTCTAATTAAAGTTTAACCGATGAAAACTCCCAACAAGCTTCGTATGTATTACAATATATTGCTATACACCATTTTAAAGGTCCATAAATCCTCTACGGAAGAAAAATAGTCAAGCTGTTAATAGATACCCAGCAAACACAGTTTCTAACATTAGGATATAACGACTTGAAGAAGTACATGATTGGTCAGAATGATGAAAAAATCAAAACATTGGCAGATCATAGGTCAGAGAAAAAAAATTTCCTCGCAAACATGGTAGGTTATTTCATGTATAGATCGCATAAAAAAAATATGAAGCCAATTGAAATTGTAATCCAGATTTGGTGTCCGATATGAAAAAGAATGTCTCATATACAGAATAGTAACTACCTTTTCATTTTCTTTACTGTTCACCGTTTTAACAGAATCTGCTATACAATTAATTCTCAAACTTTTTTTTAATTTTCAGCAAATTCTGACGCTGATATGCCGCCAAAAACTCCTAAGAGACATCGTAAATCCGTAAAGATTCTAGACACAGCTACAGAAACGCCGAAAACGCCCAAACCATGCGCCGATGCTCCAAAACTTATTGGTGTACGAGATTTAGGACGCACGTCCAAATCAACAGTTGAGACAGCTGCAGCGGACTTGACTGATGATGAAGAACGCTTTTCAGGACTAGCTGATTTAGTGAAGACCCCTACAGCCATAACCAGAGTAACAAAGAAAGCACATGAAGAGGAGGTTGTTTGGGGCAAAAAAGAAGAACAAGAAGAGCCTTCGAGTTCTAACGCAACACACGAAACATTTGTTGGTATGCGTGAGCTGTTGAAAACTCCCAAACACACCAGTACGCCACAATATCGTGGTATGCGGGAACTATTACGCACACCTAAAGCGTGTAGTACACCCCAATTGGGCGGGCTGGACGAGCTTATGCAAACTCCAAAGCGCTCTAAACTTAACGCGCAATATGACGATGAAGATGTAGAGCTCGATCAGTTCTTTAAAACGCCACGTGCTAAAGATGTTATGATACCTGGCGAACCAGCAAGCGCTGTTTTGGAACCCAGTGCGGATACCATGCTCGATATTATGACTGCCACAACTGAATATGAACTACATAGCAATAGCCAGCGGCCGCTGGAAGATATCTACAAAACGCCCGTAAGTACACGTTTGACTAGTGTTGATACTACTATTACAGAGGATGTTGAAGAAAACACGGAAAAGGAAAGTAAGGAGGAGGAAGATAAAAACGTCGTAACTTCTACAACTGGTGAAAGTGATATCGAATTAATCGTACCCGAAACACCCGCAGCGAAAACTACAACCAAACGAAACCTCTCCGCCGAAGAAGTATTCGAAGAATTAGTAGGTGAGCGCACTACGCTCGATGAAACGCCACCACAAAAAGTTTACGAACGCAAACGTCGATCAGTTGTAGCAACAGATTCCCTACTTTCACCTTTCTCAGCAACAGATATTATATCCGATTTGCCTAAAACCGATATACAAGAATGGGTAGATAATTTGGATGAAAATGCTGAGCTGGAAGAAGAGGAACAAGAAGTTACTGTTTCGGCTTCATTATTAGAATCCTCGAAAGAAAAACAAGATCCTTTTGCAACATCGGCTTGCAAGACAAGTGTCATTGGTGTGAACAAAGACACAACCGAAGAATTACTTGCAGATATAAGTGCCGTGTCCTCAATGGCAGATCCATTGCTCCCAAGTGCATCGAAGAGCTCCAAATCAGTGCATAAGGTAGTAGCTGATGAAAACGATACATTGCGTCCAACAACACCCATTGAATCAGAAATTAGTGGTATTAACTTGCTTGATCAAACCAACGAATCCGTGTTCTCAGAGCCACTGATAGTAAGCGATTCCGAGTCGATGCAAGACAAGGGGGAAAATGATGCGAAAGAAAAAGAAAAGACCGACGTAAAATCAAATAAATCGGGAAATGATATTGCGTCAACAGGCGCTAATAAGTCAATGGGCGAGGAAGAATTTCCTGTAATGTTTGTAGACAGTAGCGATTCTGAAGCAGAATATGCTGACGGAATTGACACAAATGACGACAGGACGAAACCGGCTGAGAGCACAACTCAAACAGAAACACCCGCAGTTGAAGAAACAATTAAAAGTGCACATAACACTGAGATCATCGACCTCGACGATTCTAGTGCATCCGAATCCATTGAATCCACAGTGCTCAGTAACTCAAAAGCGTTTAAAAAGACTAAAGTAAGTGATATTCATACTGAGTTTAGCAACTTTCAGCCACACAAAAACCTTGCCAGCCAGCAAATGCGCGCATCCACTCCTAACCGTTGCAGTAAGGTACGGCAACCACAATATACGAGAGGACGTCGGCAGAGCATGGGCGCCGAGAAGTTGCTTGCTAGCAGTTCCATTGACTTAACGCTTGAAAAATCCCGTTTAGCTGGGGAAAGAGCGAATTCTGTTGCGCTCGTAGATAAATGTATAATAGAGATTGATGAAGAGTCCGTGGATCTGTCGTCCGTATCTGAGATAGTGACTAATTTCGCTGAAGAAGCGGACAATACGGCTAAGATGGAGAATAATGATCAAAATAAAAAAGTAAATGCATCAAAACCAAATGAAGAGTTTGACACAGAATTCAGTAATTTCCAGGCACATAAAACAATCACCAGTCAAGGTAGACGGGCCGCCACACCTGATCAAGTCAATAAAACGCGTGCGCAGAAAATATTACAAGCTCCTCGTCGTTTAACACTGGGCGCTGAGCAGCGCCTATCGGACGTAACCGTTGATTTCATTGAAGAAAAAGCAAAACTAGAAAAATGCAAGCAAAAACCAACGCTTATTGATGAATGTATACAAGAGGTAGACGACTCTGATAAGGAGTGTGATACCAACGCCGAGGTAGCTCAAAATTATATCAGTGCATCGGAAAAAACAGCTAAGGTAGAAAATTCGAACGATGTATCAAAGGAGGAAACATTGAAGCCTGTACAGGTGATGGAGGAGAAACTAGCGATTGCAACTGTTGGATTATCGGAGCAAGTAGATAAAGTTAAACCTGCAGACGAGACAACTGCTAGTGAAGGACAAGAATTTGCCGAAACTTCTGACGAACCTACAGAACAGGCAGTTGAAACTGAGGAGGCAGAAATAAACTCTACAGCTACTGCTGACGATGTTGATGATGTACAAAGAATACAAGATGCAACCGAAATCTCAGCACTTGAAGTGAAACATACCGAGCCTATTGAACAGAAATTGGTTGAACCTGATATCAAAGCTATAAAAGATGTTACAATCGCAAAACCTTCAGCAGAAGATGTTATACTTGAAAATGAAAATCAGCCAGAAGTTTCGCTCAGTGCAGAAGCTTCAATTGAAAAAGATAATGCAACAGATAAACCTGTAGCCAAAGAAGTTAAATTACAAGAAAATGAGGCGGTAATACCATCAAACGTTGAGTCTTCAATCGGTATAGACACCACAACTAAAGGATCTTTAGGTAAGGAATTTAGAATTCAAGAAAATAATTCCGAAATTCCTTCAACTACAAAGTCTTCAACCGTCAAAAATGATAGTGGTCAGAAGCTCGAGTCAGCTGGCGATGTAGCTATAAATGTTGTTCCAGGCGAAGGCTCAGAAAACGCGTCACCCATCGAAAATGAGTTCAATGAGAGTGATATATTTGATTTATGCGATGAGCTGCCAAAGAAACCGCTAACAGTTAACACAACTCAAGGAGTTATATTTGATTTAACCGAAGAGGAAGCAGATGAAGAAAGTGTCGAAAAGAAAATTGAGGAAATTGCAACTCAGGACGTTAGCTCTTCCAGTCAACAAATTGCAAAGACGAAGTCGGAAAATGCATCAGATGAAGTCAAAGCTGGAGAAATGGAAACTGTAGTCGCAACTGAATTGAAAAATACAGAGGTGGCCTTGAAAATTGCCGTTGATGAAAGCATAGTCAATGTTGTGAGTTCAAAGCAAATATACACTGAAAGCAAGGATCACTTCACTATCACAACAGAAAATGGTGCCCCAACTCCTATAATTGAGCTGAACATTTCTCAAGAAAGTACTGACCTAACCTCCGCTGTTGTGGAAGAAGACGTATCGGCGAACATGGACGTTTCAACAGTAAATCAAAAAGATAAACAAGAAGCTGAAACAAAAATAATTGGACAACTAGAAGCTACAGCGGTTGAGCAGCAATCTCAGCCAGATGCTGTAGCCGAAGCTTATATCGATACCGAAGTTAACGCTGATGTGCAATCACTTGAGGAGGATGAAATGCTCGTTTTGGCAGTTTCTGTGGAGTCTACAGCTGATGCTGATATTATCGAAGATGCTGCAGAGACTTCACAAGCTGCGGTAGAAATACCAAATGAATCACAGGTGTACACTGCCACTGAGGAAGTGCCAAAGCTAATTAGAGATACTAGCGATGAAATGGAATTAAATAATGCAAATAGTGAAACAGCTCCGATAATTGCAGACACTGATGTGCTTGTTGAAGTTGAAGCTGGTACAAATATTATCATAACTGAGGAAAAGGCTGAAACCCTAAACGGTGAAAATGCGCCGGTATTACAAGTGGACGATTCAGTGATTCAGCTGGATAGTGATGTTGAAGAAATTGCAGAAGAACCACTATCAAATACCGTTAACAAGCAGAAAACTGCTATCGAAATAGACATAACGCCTGCAACAATTGAAATTAAAGCAAAGGAAGAAATGGAAACTGTAACCGTTAAAGAAATAAACTCGGAAAAAATTGTCACTGCGACGCCAGCAATTATTGGAGCAGAAGTAAGCGAACATGTAATAAGCGAAAAATCAGAAGATGATGTGAAAGAAAAAGTGATAGAAGTGAAGGCACAGTCAAACGCTGCAGAAAACATCGCAGAAACAACACACACGCGTGAAGAAAGCCCAGTGAAAACGAGTGAATTAGTAGCAATAGAGGAAACGAAGGACGCTGGTCAACAAAATAAAACAGAAGCTTCGGTACAACAAATAAAACAACCTGATGAAGGGGGTGAGTTAGATGAACCAGCACCATCCAATAGAGCGCATCAAGCAGCGAAGTGTACTGATCACAAGCCACGGCGATCTGAACAAACGACCGCAGAAATAGATGAATTAGCTGCCGAGAGCATGAGTATAGCTGATCAGACAGAAGCTTCGGTGCAGCAAGCATCAATGTCGGGAGAAGATCTAGATGCACCAAACCTATCCGATAGAGCGCACCAACCAACGAAGCGTACTGGTCGGAAACCATCGCGATCTAAACCACAGGGCGCAAAAGAAAGTGAGCCTACTTCTAAAGCAGCCACCGAGATCAAGAGTGTATCTGAGAAACCTGCAGCAATTATTAAGGAGCCATACTTAGATACAACAGCGAAACTTGTTGAGGAGAAAGTACAATTAGAACCACTACCACGTACTGAAACCATTGGAGAGTCGAAATCACAAGAACAGGACGTTGAAAAGAACACAGATAAGCCAATACCATCATCTTTAAATGCTGACCGTGATAATAATGAAGAAATAGTCGATGCCACTTCATCGGAGGGGAAACAAGAACCGGCTAAACGAAGACTTAGCAACCCATCACGCTCTAAGAAAACCGCCGCAGAGGAAAAAGTTCAATCTAAAGCTGAAAAACTTACTGAAGGTGAAATAGTGGTTATGAATGTTGATCTGCCCGAACAAAAGTTACAGCTGGATACAAAATTACCCGAACATAAAGAAGAGTCTGAAAATAAATCAGAAGAAATAGTGCCAGAAACACCCACAGAAGATATGTCCGTGGAATCTTCTATGCAGGTAGCCGAAGTAGAAAGCAGTGAACCGCTAGTGAAAAGAAGAGGTCGAAAGCCATCACAATCGAAACAAACAGCGCCAGAAAAGTGTGAAGAAATCTGCAAGGCAACTATTGAGAATGTAGCGTTGGAAGAAGACGAGCGTGAAACAATAAAAGAAAAGCATTATTTGGAAAAAACTGAGGAAAATATACTCAATACTGAGACAGAAATGCCAAAGTCGGAGTTAGAAGAAGCTGATAAGGTATANGTGAAACAATAAAAGAAAAGCATTATTTGGAAAAAACTGAGGAAAATATATTCAATACTGAGACAGAAATGCCAAAGTCGGAGTTAGAAGAAGCTGATAAGGTATGTACACCAGAAACTTCAACTAAGACCACGGAAAATGTGGCAAAGGAAGAGAAGGTGCACGAAGAGACAACTTCCAATGGAAAACAACAACCAAATAAGCGTAAAGGACGTAAACAATCGCAATCAAAACAAACAACCGAAGCAATTGAAGAACCAATTTCTGAGGCGATCATTGAAAATAAAGCTCTGGTTGAGGAAATTGAAATGAATGCTAAAAATGCTAATAAATCATCAATCTCAAAGGCAAACATTGAAAGCAAAACATTGGTAGAAGAATCTGCACCATTTAATGAACAGATAGCCGAGAAAAAAGCAGAGTTGCAAACATACATAAAGGCAAGCTATGAGGTGCTCTTCAAGAGCACTTCTGAAACAGCCAATATCGCCGAGGATGACAAGCCCATAGGGGGCGCATATCCATTGCCAAGCTCCAGCGAAAAATCAAAAATTGAAAATAAACCAGCTACCTTGATCACTAGCGAACACGAAGATAAAGCTGTGACAACTACAACTGAGCCGACTAGTGAAGCTCGGAGAGACATTTCTTCAAGCACAGAAACCATTGCAGAAACCGAACCTGATAAACATNAAGCTCCAGCGAAAAATCAAAAATTGAAAATAAACCAGCTACCTTGATCATTAGCGAACACGAAGATAAAGCTGTGAAAACTACAACTGAGCCGACTAGTGAAGCTCGGAGAGACATTTCTTCAAGCACAGAAACCATTGCAGAAACCGAACCTGATAAACACGAGGATTCACATGCACAGAGGCCAACACGACGCAATCGAAAAGGCTCACAATCAAGCCAATGCTCTACTCAAGATGAAGATCATCTGCCAACAACAACCAGGCGGCGTGGTGGGCGTCGACGTGCTGAAACGCCCGTCGAGCTCAGCACAGAGGAGGCCACATCATCTGATGCACCAACAAGTAAACGGCGACGAGGTCCAGGGAAAATAAAAGGNCCAACAACAACCAGGCGGCGTGGTGGGCGTCGACGTGCTGAAACGCCCGTCGAGCTCAGCACAGATGAGGCCACATCATCTGATGCACCAACAAGTAAACGGCGACGAGGTCCAGGAAAAATAAAAGAGGATGTACAATTGGAAGATATAAAAGAGGTGCAAAATGATGAACCCGAAATTACAACTGAGGAACAGCATCCAATCAAAACTGCTGAAGTAAAGTACAAAAAGAAGTTGGAGACTGAAGTCACGACTGATGATAACAATAGTGAGAAGAAATTTGACAAGATTGATGACGTATGTGGCGGTACTCCCGGCGCAGAAGAGGTGATACAAGAAGTCGATGAGGTAGCAACGAAGGATACAGACACATTAACAAAACGAGGTACGAGCAGGCGGCGACATGGAGTTGCTGCGGAAGCGGCCGAAAACGAGGAGAAAATTTCTACTTCGAAAATAAATACTGAAATTACATATGAACATCACATTGATGTCGAAGTACCAGTTACTTCGGCTATTATAACTGTTGCTAAACGCGGCAAACGCAAGCAGACCGTCTCCGAATCGAGTCAAACTTCGAACAAAGAGGAGCATATTGAGTCGCATCCAACTCATCGACATCGCCGCGGGCGTAGGCCAACTAATGAGGAGCCGGAAGTAGTTGAAACCTCCGAGACGAGCAAAGAAGAGGATGCTGCTGCTATTGCCGCGGTGCTTCCAACACTTATTGAAGTCACCGAGGTTGTGTCTTCAAATGTTCCCGAAGAAGGAATTGATAAAGTCGGGGACGCAATAAAAACAGAGAGAGAAAATGAAGAGTGTGAGCACCACTCTACAGCAGAGACTTCGAAACGTGCACTGACACGTAACAAGCGTACACTCAAGTCTTCACAAACAACCAAAGGCAGTCCGCAATTGTCCGAGGCATCAGAGGACCTCAAAGTGGAACCGAATAAAGAGACGCCACTACTAAAAGAAGAGGAGCCAGTAACAAAGGCTGCCAATGATGGTCGAACCCGCGTGAATCGAAGAAAGAAAGCAGAAACAGATGAAGAGCATGAACGCAAGACAGAAGCTGTTGATGAAGCTCAAAATGTGGATGAATCCGCTGGCACGGATCCTGTGGCTAAAACATCTGAAAACGCAGAACCTACCGTTGAGCAACTGTCGAACGCGGCTTCGGAATCAGTAGGTGGGCGACGAGGACGCCGAGGAGCGGCCGCTGCTGCCACAGTAGCAATCAATGAAGTTTCATCAGCTCACAAACGCGGTGCGCCGAGAGGAAAGACCCACCAGAATAAGCCACAGACAGCACAACAACAAGAAGAAATGAAAAAAGAAATCGGTGAAGACATTCATGCTGAAGATGGCGGGGAAGTGAAAGTGGTAGAGGATAAGAAACCACATAAGGCGATACGTAAACGACGTGGATCCACAGCTGAAGGTCAGTCGGCTCATGCAGATGGTGCTGAAAAATCCGAAACAGAAGAAAAAGAATCGACAAAGGCCGCGGCTAAGCGCGTTCGCAGACGCCGTGAGTCACATCATGAAGACGAATCGCAGAGTACCAATAAACAAGGACCCCAGGAGGAAGCTACTACTAGTTCGGCACCGAAGAAGTCTCCCATTGCGGTATCATCAAAGCAGCGCAGCGGACGTAAGCGCAAGGACTCCCTCAATAGCGTGGAAGGGACAGCGGCTGGCGACGGCGGAGGTGAACCGCCAAAGAAGCGTCCACTCAGTCGGAAGCGACGCGATTCTTCGCTCGATAGTAGCATACATGAAGGTACTGGTGGCGATGCAGATAACAACGCTGGAGGCAACACTTCGTCATCATCGACGACGCCACAACGCTCGCGTAATATACCAAGACGAGCTGCTGCCGCACAAGACCGCAACTACGACGAGAGCTCAGATGCGGAAGCACAGGTTGATCTGAAACGACGTATCGAAAAAGCAGCGCTGCCTAAAATAAATACCATTAGCGCTACAATAGCAGCGAACGCTGCTCCGAAACAATGGAGCCCAAGCGCGACTAAAACGAGCCCACCGGAAACGACACCGGCGACTGTGAAAGAAATCGCGTCTAAAGCCGTGAGCACTCCCATCTTATCGGCGGTCGCAACCACAAGTCGTGGTGGTCGGCAACGCAAACCCACCGCACGCGTACAACAGTACCTTGAGGAGGAGCGAGCTAAAGCTGAAACTCCGAAGAAGCGGCTGCTACTCAATTTAGCCGCTGGTGCCGAAACGCCTACATCACAAGCGCGCGGCACCCCAGTCAGACGCGGCCGAAAAGCCTCCGCTATTGAAACTGAGGCGCCTGTAAAATCACACACCCCGGTGCGTGGACGGGCGCGCACTGAAAAAGCCGTCATTGCTGTTGCGGTGACTTCAGAGGAATCGCGTTCGGAATTAGAACACACACATTCTGAGCTAGAAACGACCCACAGCAGCAGTCATGCGGAAGAAAAAGAGTTGAAAACAACTGCTCAAGTTATTAAACGGCCCGGGCGACGTGGCAAGCATGCTGAAGCAAACATTCCCCTAGAAAGTGATTTGAATGAAGCACACCACACATCGGCCGCAATGGTTTCCACGCCGACGCCGCAGGCACATACTGCCAGTGGCCGAAGTGGAAGAGCTGCCAAAGCCGCGGCAGCAGCGGCACTTATAACTGACGAGCCAACTGGTTCACACACAAAAGCGCGTGTTGGACGCGGGCGACGAGGCGCTCATGCCACCGAGGAGGAGCAACACACTGATGTCGAAACAAAGGGAACACGCGCCCAGGCAGCAACGCCTTCAATTGAAACCCAAAAACCAACTAAGCAGGCACGAACAGCCACAGCTGCTGGGCGCGGAGTACGCGGAGGACGGCGCAATAAACAGCTAGATGACGATGACGACGCTCGTTCCTATACCTCACAAAACGTCTTACAAGAAGATAGTGAAGCCAGCAGTAGTGGTGGGCCCCAGTTATCGCTAGCTGTCGATGCCGACGATGAGCATGAGGAAGACGAGGAAGCGCTAACGATTACGGAAGAAGTAGAAGACAAGCCACTTGCAACGGTTAAGGGAGGGAAGGCAGCAGATAAAAAACGTACGGTAACAACGCGTAAACCAGCTACCAGGGCTACCGAATCCCCTGCGCCGAAACGCGGACGTCGTCGCGCTGTCGCCGAACAAGATGACGCCACACACATAGATACAGCCTCAGAGAGCACAGGTAGCAGTCGGAGCCGCAAAGTAGTTCGATTCGATGCCGCTACGCCTTCAAGCACCACCAGTGCCGAAATGCCAGCGGAAGCTGTTGCCGTTGAAATGCCAGCAGAGAAAACAGCGCCGGCCAAACGTGCAACGCGTTCGCGCCGGAAGTGAACGATAGAAGAGCAACAGAAAAGATAATATGAGTAACGGGTGTAGTTGCGCTTAGTTTTTTTAAGCATTTACAATTTTTTATCAGCAACCTTACAATTTTTGTTATCAGCTAATGCATTCACAATGGGATAACAGTGCTAGCTATTAGAATCATACATCTACTAACCATCTCTCATTCATTCAAGCCACATCTTCGGCCTTTTCCCCAAGAAGTTTAATGAGCAGAAATCTTTATTTAATGAGCAGAAATCTTTATTTTGTCTTTTAATGAATAACCATTGATTTGTTTTTTTTTCTCGATTAAATTTACGGAATTGTTCTGAGTTATCCTGTATTTAAATTAGTTCGCATGAACGCGCAGACATATTTCATTATCTTGTGTTCGATTAAAAAAAATTAAAAAAGACAAAATAAATAATGATGAATTGCATATGCATTTTATTTCGCCTTTGGCATATAGAGTAGTAGTTATACATACATACATACATATTCTACCCAAATACAACAAACTACTAATACTACCAACATACTATATTGTACTTTTATGTCTATAAAACAAAAAATAAAATAAAAATAATCGTATGTCGATTTTATAAGATGTTCTTTTCATTCGATTTATGTAAATATACATTGATTCACAAAGACCCTAACCAACACTTTTTTGAAACTGCGTTTTTCACAGATTTTGGTAGGAGGTATTCGAGTACACCTTAAATAAAAATTGTAAAGTGTTAGTACCAAACACACCGGAGTTACATGCCACTTTTTAAAAAGTCCTACACTGCCGGCAAAAAGTATTGGCACAGCTGCTTTTTTACAATATATGCAACAGTTCTTACTGCAATATTTTTCCGATAATTTTTTATAAAAATATGGTTCAATCCACAACAAAAAACATAAAAATATAATTTCTAAACTTTGTGCAAAACTCATTTCAAAACTTCATACAAATTTTAAAGTGTTTAATCTGATTTGTTAGAATTTTTTAGGGTATGCAGATTTGTAGCCCAATCAATTTTATTGTAATGAAGTAGAAGTTCCAAGTAGCTACGAATAACCATTGATTTTTGGAAATTTTTTTTCACTCAGTCTTCCATACAAAAAAAATTTTAGAAAATACTTTAAATGGCGAAAATGCAAAACACGTTCAACAAAAAAAAAATATATTTTTTATACTAGAATTTAATTGGCAACAAAATTGCCTACTCAAGAAAGTTCGAGAAAATCGAATAAAAAAGTTGAAAATTTGAATGAAAATTCATTGAATTTTCGCGAATTTTACACAAAGTTTAGAAATTATATTTTTGTGTTCGTTGTTTTAGAATGAGCCATATTTAAAAAAAAAAATTGGCGAAAAAATATTAGGATAGAAATTGGCGCATATTTTGTGCGAAATTCGCTGTGCCAATACTTTTTGCCGGCAGTGTACCTGTTTTTGATACTCCTTTTTAAAATGTTTTTTTTTTGCTTCTCCTGTGATTAGGGCCTTTATGAATTAAGATAAGATAACGGTGGCAGCAGAGGAAGAGGGAGGCCCTGCGACTGCGATGGAAAGACCAGGGCTCTAATCGTAACACCCGTTCACGGATCGAAAACCATACGAATGAAAATTACGTGATACGTCAGTCGTATAAGCCGAATGGGATAAAGAGTACGTTCACGTATGTCATAATCTGAAAAAATCTAATTCCCCTAATATATAGCTAGCTTTGTGTTTTTTGAACTACCGTTACGTTGGTGGAACTCGTAGTTTTTGTCCGATTTCAAAAATTTTCAATGTGGCGCTTAAGAAGCTTAATCGCAATACCACATTTGGTTGAGATCGATCAAGTAGCTTTTGAGATACGCATATATGATATAAGTGGGCGGAGCCATCACCAGTTTCGTAAAAATTCCTGAAAATCCACTTCTTTGCTAAAGAACGATTGTATATGTTTATAAATTTTGAATAAATATTGATGAATTCCTTAGCCACACTGGTCAAAAAATCTGAAAGTCCAGTACATAATTAATATAAATTCAAGGCCGTATTTAAGAAAACGCTTCTAAATTCGACAATTTTAATGCGATTGAAATTAATGGGGTATCAGTTCATTTGAAAATAGATTTAATTTTAGACAGATGACATTCGATCTTTGAAATCGAGTCAAAAATAGTCATCCAAAAACTCATAAATCTACAGCCGTATTTTTTTAACCTAAATCGACAGGTCGCGACCTCTTAATGACCGTTAAAATATCTATAAAAATAGGCAATAATAATTCTCATAAAAACGAATAAAATTAGGGGGTTGGGTCTTGAAATTTACAAAAACCACATTTTCGATGAGCACCCTAATGTACATATGTGCGAATGCACCATGCGAATGCACATAAATCATTTTTTTGTACCTGCGTTTGAAAATATATAAAGGGAGTTCAAGATTTGTAGCATTTTAAAATGCGCCAGAAAGTTTGACGAATATTTGAGACCATGCTGTGACAGAACTGTTTAAAAGTGAGCAGTCAAATCAACAGAACAGAAAAACCAAAAAACACTTTTCAGTTATCCTGGAGGTTAACACTTGACATTGACGCAGTAAAGCTAAGCGTCAAAAGTTAAAAAGAAATGCTTTCCCAGCACAGCAACAGGAGTTTTTAGTGTACTTTTTTTCTTTTTCAAACACTGTTTAGTACTGTAGTAGAGTTTAATTTTATTTGCCAAAAGATTAAATTTATTTGCCAAAAGTTTAACTTAATGTGTTAATGCTATAATAGACTAAAATGCGAAAACCACTATATCTCTAAAACCAATTATGCTGGGGAACTGAAACTTAGCACAGATGCATATACATATGTATTGTCAATACCCTACTTAGACTATGTTCAAACAGGCACCTAATTGGCAATTAAGAACCTTATGTGTTACCCAATTTATCATACAAAAATTCTAATTATTAATTGCCAATTAATTAATTGGCAATCAATTTGTGTCAGATTCTCTATGGAGCCCTGCTAGGTATGTGTAATTTTGACTTGGAGGTATGTTTCATCTTATTACATTAAACGAGCAATTCTTGTATATATATATATATATCCATAAGGTGCTCGGAAACGGCTCTAACGATTTTGATGAAATTTTGTACACAGATAATGTTTTGGATTCTAAGGTTATCTGAATAGACATTATCTCTGAGAAGACTCGTACGAGCTTGCCACCTATTCGAAATTAAAATTTAGTTAAAACATCATAATATGGGTATCAAATGGAAGGTATTTTAAAGATCCCTAATCCAAAAAGATTTTTTAAGGTTGCCACCTATTTTGAATCGCATATTTATTTAATTTTTTGTTTACAAAAAAAAAGTTAAAATATTACTATTCATGGGTACCAAAAGAAGGTTCTTAAACAATGCTTTCTCTATATATAAAATGTTATCTCTTAGGATAATAGTGTAAGGTTGCCACTTATTTCCGATTATACACAATTTATCTAAAATATCGCAATATGGGTATCAAATGGAAGGTATTGTTGAGAACTTTGGTCAGAAAATATTTTCCATCAGGATTGCCAGGGTTCTATGTAATACAAATTTTTATTTTGTTAATTTCAATCGACATTTTTTTATGTATACACAGTACACATATGCTCAAGATATGTACCTTTCATTCCAGCGTATTTCGGAATAGGGTTTCCACCTAAATTTTAGAGTAGAGAGGAATTTACTTCATAGATATCGAAAACCTATTTTTTGTTTATTTCCAAAATTTTTTTTGAAAGCTATCCAAATCTTGAAAACTTTAAAAAGTACATATCGATGGCTGAGTGGAAGATCGACCTATCTCGGCAGCCAGTTCGAAAACGCTCTATCTCAAAAAACTTTTCAAGAACGCCTTATTTCAGAATTTAATTGAAAAATTCCCTATCTCAAAATTCGGTTCAAAAACGCCCTATCTCATTTCAAAATGTGTTGAAAATATGCTGATATAGGGCGTTTTGGAATCGGTAGCTGAGATAGGGCGTTTTTGAAACGAATTCTGAAATAGGGCGTTCTTGACAAGATTTTTGAGATAGGGCGTTTTCGAACTGGCTGCTCAGATAGGTCGATCTTCCACTCAGCAGTCGATATATGCACTCCGGGCAAAGCTCGATCAACCTGGTACTGATACAAAAAAGAAGGTAGTTTCTTTTAATGACATTCGTAGTTTTTGTTAAGCATTCGTCTTTTAATAAAATTATGACATTTCATCAAATTCATGCTACCTGATCACTTGAAGAAATATTTTTTTTTTTTAGGTAGAAGATTTTATTTTATGGACTTGAAAATTATGCCGGCTACATAATTTGACGACTAGGTTTCAGAACGCATGAAGAAAGTGTCATACATATCGTCGTTTAAAATACAAAACCGCGTATCTTTGTGCAAAACCGCGTAACTGACATTTTTTGCCAAAAATTCGACTTGCTCACACAAGCTCTTGGGTCAAGCCTTATCCATTCGTCCTGAAATACGATTTCTTTGTAAAAAAGAGAACCATTTTTAAATATGAGTGTTTTTACTCTCTAGAAAATAATTTATGCAACCTCACATACGCGGTTTTGCATTTTACATTAAAAATATGTGCAAGTTAATGGTGATACGCTAATCATAAAGCCTAGTTTTTTTTCAAAATCTGATGAGAAATTTAAAATTAAATTTGAACCAAAATATAAAAAGGTTTTCGCAAGATTGCATTCAAAATAAAAAGATAATGCTCGCATGTTTTTTATTATAAAATAAAAATAACAATTACGATGACGTCTTCTTAAATAGATTATATTTTATATAGTTTAAATAAAGATAGTGCGAGCTACGTAAGTAAATAAAATACCAAGCACGGATAATGGTTTTTGATTTGAAATATTACATTGGTATGAATATGCGAAAGAATTTATGAAACTTGTTTATTGAAACTACCTTCTTTTTTATCATGTATCTGTTTATCAGAAGTTAGTGGGCCAAATTTTTATGCATCTGTACTATCNAAGTAAATAAAATACCAAGCACGGATAATGGTTTTTGATTTGAAATATTATTACATTGGTATGAATATGCGAAATAATTTAGGAAACTTGTTTTTTGAAACTACCTTCTTTTTTTTATCATGTATCTGTTTATCAGAAGTTAGTGGGCCAAATTTTTATGCATCTGTACTATACATTTTTATTGGCTTTTGTATATTATTAAGGTTAATTACACTCCGGTGCATATGGTCTTGCCCATGCATATCCCAGTGATTTTTAATTTTATTGTTGTATTGTGCACGTTTACAACAATAGCGGTACTCACTTTCCGTAGCATTTTAGGTGTAAAGTTGTTACGTGGCAATCTAGCACGCATTTTGTTGTTGGAAGAGCAACAAAACATGTGGTAGATTGCTACGTAGCAACTTTACACCTAAAATGCTACTCAACGTGAGCTCCCCTAATAAAATTTGCAAATGTACCGAAATATGCACATGCAATACCATATGCGCCGGATTGTGAATACAATGAATTATGTTATATGTAACTTCGACCGCTCTACGACTTGTACGAAAGTTTGCAATTGCAAAATATGGTATTTTTCAACTAAATGAAAAGGTTTTGTCCGGAAAAGGTTGCCACCTTTTTATAACTACCTAAAAGTAATTGTTCCAATATGGATATCAAATAAACGATTTTTTTACAGCTTTAACGTACTTATACGTACATATTTGTTTAAACTTGTTTATCAAAAGGAAGTTATAAATTTAAAATGGACAAAATAAGTCAATTAAATATATTTTCATATTTCAAACCATATTTTTGCTATGATCAGATCTGATAATATCTGAAATAAGTTTACAAGGAAAATGCGGTAAAATTAAAAAAATTTGAGCTTGATGCGATGAATCCGCTTAAAGCGCCACAGACCGAATTACTTAATGAAACTTATACTTCGCACAGACTAGTACCGGTCTTGACTGCAGTTTATTCTTAACGTAAATTGTTTGTCTAAAACTAATTGAGTAAAGTATTTCAGATTCCATCATATTAAAAAATAGTTCAAAAGTTCGATACTAATTGCTCTGAACTATATTTACTTCTATGTATCCTTATTAATATAAAGGCCTTTTAGTGTTCTTTTTGAGCCACTCCCTCAGCAGCCGAACAGAATCTTAGGTGGCTGTTTTTAAAGCCTTTGATCCGTAAAAATGTAATAATTTTTGTGAATTCTTATTTTTATATTAAACTGTAATTAAAATAGGTTATAAAATGTTTAAAACTTTCTGGTGCCTTATGTCAAAACTCGTATAATTTGGTAGCTTCTACGTTTCTTTTTATAAATTTGAAGCTTGTTTTTTTTCTGGAAACAAAATAGAGTTGCATCGGAACAAAAATATTATGAGAAAGAAACAACTTTAGAATCCTTATGTGAGTATTGAAAAATCGTAAAAATGTGCCTAATACTTGCAACTTTATTTATGTTTAATAAAAATTTCTCTAGAGAATGTATTCTCTCGGAAAACTTATGAAAACGAATATTGTAAAATAACTTTAAAATTTCGACGGGTCGGCAACCCGAAAATATGTCTATGCTAAAATATTTCCGATAACCTTTCACTGGACACCCATATTGTCATCTTTTTTTAATTTAACGGATAGTGTATCTTATCCATTTCTTGTGACCATACGTTAGGCTATAATTCCGGTACCGGAAGAGGTATCGAAATGAGTTTTAGTTTCAAATGTGCCCCTTCTAAAGCAGATTAATATGTTTGTCATTTGGGAAAAATCGGTCACGATTTAAATGTGAGCTCTGAACCACTGTGTGTCGTACCAAAAAAATGCTCATACAAAATTTGTAGAATAAAATTCTCTACAACTTTGTTGCTAAAATATGCTACGTTTTTTCAACAGAAATTGTTGAAAAATGGCGAAAACCGTGACAATGTAAAATTTGTCCACAGTTTTTGCTAATTATTTACAATAAAAGTGTTTTTTTTTAACCTTTTATATAAGAAATGTGGAAAATTAAATTTCATTCGAAGTTTGTATTGAACCATTTTTTAAGAAAAATGCAAAATAAGCTTACAAATTGCAAAAGAAAAAACCCTAAAATCAAAAATGGCGGAGTGTTTCCTTATGAAATTTAGGGGAAAGACTGTGGATCCACGTGTCAAACGGAAGAAAACTGCAGCAAAAAATCGCTGTAACAAATTTTTTTTTGAGAAAAAGTCTAATTTTACTGGGCTAAGATGAGAATATGATGAAATATGATAACAATTCAATTCTATGTTTCGATACAGGTCAATCAAATTTTATTTACTTAATAGCTTCTTGACATATACATACATGCATAGATATTTAATTAATTGCTGTGATACGTACATATGTACGTACATATAACGTTTATATTTTATAAATGAACAAATCAAATGCCGGCATGCATCTTAAGCTTTTTTGTGTTTTCGTTATTGCTTTCTTATCGAATTGTTGTTGTGGAACAGCATAAGCCACAAGTTGTTTGTTGGTTAGCAAAAAAGCGCAAAAAACGCAGTTATACAATAGAAAATATACATGTCGATAATTTACTTATTAAAATAAATACATATACTGGTGGCAGAAATAGTAAACTCACCTTATTTTGATCATATTTTTTAAGAAAAAAAAATCAATGGTATTTTGTAGCTATAAGTTTTAAATTTTAGGTGAAAATTTACTGAATTTTCATAATTTTTGTACAAAGTTTGAAATGTTGATATATATGGTGTTTGTTGTATAACTAGCTAGACTTTTATTTTAAAAAAATATTAAATATTAAATAAACCAAAGAATTATAGCAAAAATTTGTCAAAATAAGGCGAGTCTATTATTGCTGCCACCAGTGTACATGAATACATGTGTAGGCTAAACTAAAGTATTTAACAAAAGTAAATATACAAATAAAAATAATAATACAATTTAAAAGCGAAAATTCTTTAAAGAATGTCCTATTCTGTAAAGCGTGTCCTATTTAGAACAACGTAAAGCATTTCTTATTTGATATTCGGTTGATACTTACATAAGCATATGACGTCACCATAAAAACAAAAGGCCCTATTCGGCAAATTTCGAAATTTTACAGAAGTGAAAAACTGTTTAAATTTACATAGTGCAGACATATTTACATAGAAAATGCTTACAGAGCTATTCTAAATATCCTAATAAATCTCGTGTACTGCCTTGAATTTTTGTGCTTGCGAGCCAATTGGATTTCTAAAACAGCATTCCTGAAAAATATGCCCTTTTGCACTGATGATGACAATGGGCCTATGAATATAAAATAAGCAATTGCTTTTTCTTAAAATTTCAGACCTTTCACCTGTTCAAAGAAATTTAAGTAAAAGGTCTGAAATTTTAAGAAAAAGCAATTGCTTATTATTCATAAGGCCTAATATGTATTAAAACCTCAAAATTACCATAAGTTTTCCCTTCTGAAAAGTCGTTTTTTCAATAACTTAGAAAAACAATACAATAAAAAATAAATAATAGTAATAATTTGACCAGTTTTGACTATTTTTCTTTTGTTTGTTTAATGTTTATTATTATTTTTTTTTTATGCAGCTCATCTAACAAAAACCATAGGGTTATGTATGCGAGTCTACATTTCGAACGTTGTAGAAAAATTCAACAATATTTTTATAAATATTCTAGGTATGCAGTTTTATAGGCCATAGCTTAAATTTGTAAATGTAAGTTTCACGTGACTAAGAATTCGAGCTGATTTTTAATATTTTTTTTAACGGTGTCACGCATTTTTTTCCATACAAAGTGTGTTCTAGAAATTTTTTTGGATGGAAAAAATAATGACACCATCGGCAAAAAAATTTTCAAAAACCAACGCGAATTCTTAGCCACTTAAAACTGGCTAGAATTTAATGGGCTATAAAACTGCACACTTAGAATTTTTTTAAAAATTCGCAATAAAAAGTTTTACGTTGTAAATTTTTTTTCTACTAGATTTAAATTTAGACTCATATTGTTTTAGTTAGAAAACGAGCTCCTTTTTTATTTAAAAATAATAATGAACATTAAACAAAGAAAAGAGGAATAGCCGAAACCGGTCAAAATGTCGTCGCCCTATTATTTTTCTCATGACTGTATATTTCCATTTTCAATAATATCATTATAATTTATTTAAATGTGCGCAACTGTAGATTATTGACAACACCACTTATGTCACCTTGTCAAGTTTCAGTCTCGCTGGGTGTTAGAGAAATATGTCTGCATTAACAAAGTTAAATCCACCCATTGATGGCCGCATTATCGTTCACTGTTCATTTTTTTCTTGAAATGAAAATTACCACTCGACTCAAATTTTTCATGTATTTGAACAGGAGTTGACAAAGATCAAAAAGTAATGAATTCAATTAAATTATTTTGTCGAAAATCCGTCGAAATGTGTTACGTAAAAGATTTCATTATTTTGTCGTTCGATTTAAAAGTATTTTGTACGCTATACATGGGAACAGCTTCTTAAATGATGAGTTTATGTTACATTATTCAGACTTGCGTAGAGCATAAAAATCACCGTAGAGGTAATAATATTGAGTTAATCTATACTACTAAAAGCACTTTCTAAGCCTTACATACAAAACACTAAAAAAGAAATATATTTCGTGGTAAAACCTATACGTCAATTTAAATGCACAATGGTAAAATAAATTTGAGTTTCATGTAGAATTTGTGCCAGCAGCAAAGAAATTAAAAAAAAAAAATATGTATAGCTGCATTAGTGTAATATATAAATGTAGGGACGGTGTGTAGTTTGTATCCAGAAAACATTTGGTTGCAAAAAATAGATGAAGTACACAAACATAGACGTACAATGTACATGCAAAGCCAATTATTTCTTAACTAAGCCTTCATAAGAAGATGTGGTTCGGAGCGTAATGAATCAGTTAAATATTGCGTTTTCATTGTTTTCTGAAAGTAGCGTTTTTCGTTGGGTGAGTTTACATTGTATACCAGTGGCCGTACGCCAACATTACGCCAAAGTTCAGCGATATGGCTGGAAATAGTTAAAGAATTAAAAATAAACATATATAAAAACTAATTAAACCCTCTATTATGAGTTTCCATGTGATAGACGATAAACGCTTGCCAGCCTATCGTATGAAATTAGTTTTCGTTTATTCTTTTCATATGCTCAACAGATGTATTAATTTGAATGTCTGTGGTTTTTGTTCACTTCTTATCGGTAACCAACACAAATCAGTTACGCTAACTATCGGATTTGCTGCAACAAACATCGATTCGTAATAGGGGACAACAGAATGCAAGCGTTTATCGTGCATCGTACGAATTCATAATAGGGGGTAAATCCTGATTAATTGCTATGCTTACAGATTGAATTCCTCTTTGTTTACAAAAACAACACTAATACCAATAACTGGTGCTATAATATTGCGAAACAATGCGCCATAAATCGATGTGATCAGTGTTGAGGCCTTAAGTATGGCCAAGGACAGTGATTTCTCAGTCCAAAGGCCGCAAATCAACTCTGGATACAATTTACGTAACTGAAAAATGGTTTTTAAAGTATTAGCTTTACGTTTAAATAAAACATAAAATCAAGGGCTTATATTCAATACGACCTATCTGCAGTTTATACAAAAACTACTTTCTGATGTTAGAATCCATGGTTAGAACCCATCGGAGGCTTAACTGTCATCACTGGTTGCAATTTTAATTTTGAAATTCAATACTAAATTTTTCTAACAAGCGATATATAAGGTCAACATTAGCCTTATCGATGACAGTTAAGTCAAAGGTCGATTCTTATATAGGAATCTTAATTTTGTAAACACTGCATTTAGGTCATATTGAATATAAACCCTCGATAGCAAGAGATAACCATGTACATCAAAATCAAAATACCTGATAAATAGCGTAGGGGGAGCGACTGATGAGTATCATACGAGAGGTAAATTGTGCATTGGCCTCTATTGCAGCTTTCAACCTTTCTAGCATTCGTACGTTATTATCCAGAATGTGCAAGAAGACGGTTATCCTTTGTTGCTCCTCCAAGAATTGCATTAACTGTGCAAGCGTGAGTATTTGTTCAGCCTCAAACTGTGAGCTGAAGGGAAGGAAAAATACATATGTATGTGTAGTTAAACGATTATTTATTTTTTATTTATTTATGTTTCTAAAACTTGTAAATTAATTTATAAGCTATTTAAAATATAGGGCACCTGGTTTCAAAAACCATCTTGTTCCCTGTTTGCAATTAATATTATTTTGATATGTAGTATTTAGTAGTAGTATATCGTACACCGTCTTCAAAAGAGTCAAAACTCAAAATAATACGTTCGTCAGAAAATGCGAACAACTATTTCGTAGCACATGCTAATCATATGGGAAATGGCCACATTACCTTAGGTTTTTTTTTTAACAAATCATAGAAGAAATTTGCTCCAGTTTTTGCTGAAAGGTGAATAAAAGCTCTGTACATTTTTAGCGCATAATTTCAAAAATGCCAAATTTTGAGTTGTGACTCTTTTGAAGACGGTGTGCGATATGTTGCACCGTTAATGTGGTGCGCCAGTTAGAACACTTCTTCGTGTTGTTTACGTTGTAATAGTGTGCGGCATCGAAGATAGTGGCATTTGCCCTCATTCTAGCAATTTTAAAAGCTCAAACAGTCAACGACGTAGCGTAGACATAGGTTGACGCAGACACGATCTACCTTATGGGATTCGCGTGGTAACGAAAACTCACCACCGAATGGCGCGCTGACGTTGCTGTTGTTTCTCTCTCTCTATCAACAGTAAATTTGGTACTGCGCTTTTATGCATTCTTCCCGAGTTAAGTTTTTACAATAGTTGGGACGTTTCGAGAGTTCATTGTGCATTCGCAGAAATTATTTTGACTCCTTCCATTTCTTTTGGTTGTCTTCTTTCATGTTGGAGCAAAAGTTGGTTATAATAGAACTTAGGCAGGGAACTTTTGTTGTTAATGGAAGCGACAAAGCCTCAGCGGCTTTGCTGTCAGCCATGTCGTTTGCTTTTATTCCGACATGTCCTGGCAGCCACAATAGTTTTGTTATAGGGCCTTGGTCTTTAAGTACATGCTGAATTAAATTGCTGTTTCTGGTAGATTGAAGATGTTTAGCAACGCTTAAGCTACCGGAACATATTAAAGCTTTGATATTTGTTGATGCTGCGTGTTTGATAGCTTGCTATATTGCGCACAATACAGAGTGCGGCGGTAACAGCGCTTGAATGAAGGTTTTGAACGAGTTCGTTGCCGTTTGTTGAACTACAGCGTATGTAGTTATACCCCTTTACTGAGAACCATCTGTAAATATAGTTAGTTGCGGACAGAAATAGTTCACTATTTATTGCTTGTACATTGCTCCGGTAGTATTGCTCTTTTTAAATTTCAATAGACTTTCTAATACATTGCTGCTGCCTTTTGGTTTAACTGGTATTGGTGCTTTATTTTCTGTTAGGAGCCTTATAATGTTTTCTACAGCACTAGTCCTGATTTCTCTTTAAGTATTTGTGTTGCTAATTAAACTTCAAAATATTTCGTGCAGAGAGTGATTTTTCAACGTTAGAGCTTTTGCGGCAAGGTTGACAGACCTACGTTGCAATATCCAGTCAAACTCGTGATAACGCGCTTCTATCCTGAGGGCCTCCAGGGGTGTACCAGGGAGTAGTCCTGACGCTGTCCAGAAGCATCTGTTCAAGGCAGCGTTGATTTTGCTTTTGTTTTTTTTCGGAAGTCTACCCGTATATAGTCAGCCCATGTTGAATTATGCCCTCCGTAATAGTTCGATGGGGTATAGTCGTTGTGCTGGGTATGCAGTAACAGTTGCACAGCTGTACTCAATCCCGACTCTTGCGGCCATGTTTGCGCACTCTGGGCAATGTGAGCAACCCATGTGCGAGATGTGGTAACCAATCCGAGTAGAGCCTTGGGTCACGGCAGAAAGAAAGAGAGCTTCGGTGGCGTTCCCACGTCAGTCGGGTCTACGTAACCGGAACGACCCAGATTTATATCTGGCCAAGGACTGTTACTCCAGCAACACTCCCCAAAAAGTCTTTGGGGAATTTGTATGCTGCTACAACAACAACAAGAGCTTCGGTGGGGCCACTCCGACTTATTCGGTTTAAAGGCTCAGCGAAGCCTGCAGTGTCTGTTCACCAGTAGGTGCGGCTGCAAGCGGGTGTCTGTCTTGGACCAAGCGGATCGCTATGTAAACCTGTATTTGGTTGCGAAACCACCCCGTCGTAGCAATGGGTTGTGCGCTGGGTTTGGGACAGTCACTTAAAAACCCCTTCCAGCGGAGAAGCGAAGTAAAGCCTCGAATGAGACCCCCTTATGATGACGACCATTTGAAGGCATGCATTGTGCCTCTGCCCGGCTGTTGATGTCCTCGTAAGAACAAAAGGCGACATCACCGCCATCCAAGAAATGCGTTGGATGGCGCAAGGCAAGCAATGTGTGGGGCCTGGCGACGTATACTACAGCTGCCATGTAAAGGAGCGCGAATTCGTTATTGGATTTGTGGTGGGAGAGAGACTCCGTCGCCGAGTACTGATCACCCAAATATGCAAGGAAAGCTTAACGTCGAAAAGTTGCAGTTACAACAGACAGCCAATGGATTCGCTACTCGACTCTCACACCTGCTCATTAAGTACCGCCGTCGAAGAAGTAGTCGGATTTCAACGAGCCCGAAAGAACAACTGGTACGATGAGGAGTGTCAGGAAGCTGCCGAGAAAAAAGATGCCGCATACAGGGCCAAGCTGCGATCGGACGCAACGCGTACTATGTGGGACCACTATAGGGATCTGAAGAGGGAAGCGAAACGCATTTGCCGCAATAAGAAGAGAGATGCCGGGAAGAATGCCCGAAAATTTTACCAGAGAGTTAGGCGACTTACGGAAGGTTTCAAGACCAGGGCGTACTCCTGTAAGAACAACAATGGCGACCTAGTTACAATTGTTCAGAACGTACATAAATTACGGAGGGACCACTTTTCCACCCTTCTGAATGGTAGCAGCACGGAAAGTTGTGGAGAAGAACCCGAGCCCTCAGTCAATGATAACCTAGTCGATGTTCCTCCGCCTGACTATGACGAGGCACGAATAGCAATAACGCGTCTGAAAAACAACAATGCTGCTGGAGCTGACAGCCTGCCAGCTGAGCTGTTCAAGTATGGTGGGGTAAGTTGATAAGGTGCATGCATCAACTCTTATGCAGAATATGGTCAGATGAATGCATGCCCGACGACTGGAATTTAAGTGTACTCTGCCCAATCCACAAGAAAGGTGACCCCGCCATTCGCGCCAACTACCGCGGGATCAGCCTTCTAAGCATAGGTTACAAGGTCTTATCAAGCGTATTGCGTGAAAGACTGAAGCCCAACGTCAATGAGGACTGGCAAATCCACCATAGACCAGGTATTCACAATACGCCAAATCTTGGAAAAGACTCGCGAAAAAAGAATCGAACCTCATCGCCTATTTGTCGACTTTAAAGCCGCTTTCTGCAGCACTAAAAGGAGTTGCCTATACGCCGCTATGTCTTAATTTGGCATCCTGACACGGCTGTGTAAAATAACGTTGAGCAATACCAACAGCTCCGTCAGAATTGGGAAAAACTTCCGAGCCGTTCGCCACCAAACGGGGTTTCAGGCAGGGCGACTCCCTTTCATGTGACTTCTTTAATCTGATGTTAGAGAAGATAATATGAGCTGCAGAACTGAACCGCCCAGGAACAATTTACTACAAGAGGGTGCAATTGGTGGCTTATGCCGATGACATCGACATAATCGGTAACAAAAACCGCGAAGCCTGTTCTGCCTTTTCCAAGTTGGATAAGGAAGCAAAGGGAATGGGTCTGGTGCTAAACGAGGACAAGACGAAATATCTCCTGTCATCAAAGAAACAGTCAGCACATTAACGCCTTGGCACCCACGTCACTGTTGACAGTTATAATTTCGAGAAAGTGGAGAATTTCGATTACTTGGGAACCAGAATTAACACCGATAATAATGTCAGCATGAAAATCCAACGCAGAACTACTCCTGCCAACAAAAGCTACTTTGGTTATAATTTTGGGCTAAATACTTTGGACTGAGTAGACAATTCAGCAGTAAACGAAAACCTCACTCATTATGCCCGTGCTGGTATATGGCGCAGAAGCATCGAAAATCCAATGAGGCGGCTCTTGGAGCATTCTAGGGAGAGATTTTGCGGAAGATTTACGGGCTTTTAGGCGTTGGCGACGGCGAGTACCGCAGACGATGGAACGATAAGCTGTATAAGCTTTACAGCGACATGTACATAGGGCAACGAATTAACTTAAGCTGATGCCAGATAAAACTTTGTAGCTTTGCGTGACATTTATAACTTTGCCAGCAAAGCGCCAGACGCAAAAGGTATGCCACAATGAACGCCAAGAAATCAATTTTTTACTCGTCAAAATTGCTGTGGATTTTAGATATTTTGCTTTAAAATTATCAGCAATGTAATTGAGTTTTATGTTTCAGCATGAATACCCGAATTTGGACGAAACAAAATAAATATTAAACCGGCTGATTGTCAAAGCGCGCAAAAAGATGGGAGTTGGCCATCTTTTCGCTTCGCGCTGCAGCTTCAATGATCTATGTGGCATGCTTTGTGCATTTTCATACAATTCATCTTAGCTGTCAAAGCGAATCTGTCACGTAAAGCGAAGCAAACGTTTTATGTGGCATCAGCTTTACAGCGGCTCCGCTGGCTTGGCCATGTCGAACACCGACACTCCAGTTTTGAAAGTATTCAACTCGGAACCCGCTGGTGGTAGCAGATGAAGAGGGAGGCCCGCACTGTGATGGAAAGACCAGGTGGAGAATGACTTGGCTTCAATTGGCATTTCCAGTTGTCGTCAGCTGGCACAGAAGAGAATCGACTGGCGTGCTTTGTTGAACTCGGCCAAAAAGGCGGTTACAGCGCCAAAGAAAAAGAAGAAGAATAACTCTACAGATGGATATTGTTGTTTCTATGTGTGGTCCTTTCTTTCAGGTGCAAAAGATTTTTAGGAGATTAGGAGGCAAAACGAATCGAGACAGATATAGACAAATGTATACATAAATTATCAGAATGAAAAGATATNGGGCTAAATACTTTGGACTGAGTAGACAATTCAGCAGTAAACGAAAACCTCACTCATTATGCCCGTGCTGGTATATGGCGCAGAAGCATCGAAAATCCAATGAGGCGGCTCTTGGAGCATTCTAGGGAGAGATTTTGCGGAAGATTTACGGGCTTTTAGGCGTTGGCGACGGCGAGTACCGCAGACGATGGAACGATAAGCTGTATAAGCTTTACAGCGACATGTACATAGGGCAACGAATTAAATTAAGCTGATGCCAGATAAAACTTTGTAGCTTTGCGTGACATTTATAACTTTGCCAGCAAAGCGCCAGACGCAAAAGGTATGCCACAATGAACGCCAAGAAATCAATTTTTTACTCGTCAAAATTGCTGTGGATTTTAGATATTTTGCTTTAAAATTATCAGCAATGTAATTGAGTTTTATGTTTCAGCATGAATACCCGAATTTGGACGAAACAAAATAAATATTAAACCGGCTGATTGTCAAAGCGCGCAAAAAGATGGGAGTTGGCCATCTTTTCGCTTCGCGCTGCAGCTTCAATGATCTATGTGGCATGCTTTGTGCATTTTCATACAATTCATCTTAGCTGTCAAAGCGAATCTGTCACGTAAAGCGAAGCAAACGTTTTATGTGGCATCAGCTTTACAGCGGCTCCGCTGGCTTGGCCATGTCGAACACCGACACTCCAGTTTTGAAAGTATTCAACTCGGAACCCGCTGGTGGTAGCAGATGAAGAGGGAGGCCCGCACTGTGATGGAAAGACCAGGTGGAGAATGACTTGGCTTCAATTGGCATTTCCAGTTGTCGTCAGCTGGCACAGAAGAGAATCGACTGGCGTGCTTTGTTGAACTCGGCCAAAAAGGCGGTTACAGCGCCAAAGAAAAAGAAGAAGAATAACTCTACAGATGGATATTGTTGTTTCTATGTGTGGTCCTTTCTTTCAGGTGCAAAAGATTTTTAGGAGATTAGGAGGCAAAACGAATCGAGACAGATATAGACAAATGTATACATAAATTATCAGAATGAAAAGATATATCCATTAAGCGGTGACTGTCTGTCCGTCCGTCCGTCTGTGCACACGATAACTCGAGTAAAAATTTATATATCTTAACGAAACTTGGTACGTGCACTTCTGTCAGGTNGGCTCTTGGAGCATTCTAGGGAGAGATTTTGCGGAAGATTTACGGGCTTTTAGGCGTTGGCGACGGCGAGTACCGCAGACGATGGAACGATAAGCTGTATAAGCTTTACAGCGACATGTACATAGGGCAACGAATTAAATTAAGCTGATGCCAGATAAAACTTTGTAGCTTTGCGTGACATTTATAACTTTGCCAGCAAAGCGCCAGACGCAAAAGGTATGCCACAATGAACGCCAAGAAATCAATTTTTTACTCGTCAAAATTGCTGTGGATTTTAGATATTTTGCTTTAAAATTATCAGCAATGTAATTGAGTTTTATGTTTCAGCATGAATACCCGAATTTGGACGAAACAAAATAAATATTAAACCGGCTGATTGTCAAAGCGCGCAAAAAGATGGGAGTTGGCCATCTTTTCGCTTCGCGCTGCAGCTTCAATGATCTATGTGGCATGCTTTGTGCATTTTCATACAATTCATCTTAGCTGTCAAAGCGAATCTGTCACGTAAAGCGAAGCAAACGTTTTATGTGGCATCAGCTTTATAGCGGCTCCGCTGGCTTGGCCATGTCGAACACCGACACTCCAGTTTTGAAAGTATTCAACTCGGAACCCGCTGGTGGTAGCAGATGAAGAGGGAGGCCCGCACTGTGATGGAAAGACCAGGTGGAGAATGACTTGGCTTCAATTGGCATTTCCAGTTGTCGTCAGCTGGCACAGAAGAGAATCGACTGGCGTGCTTTGTTGAACTCGGCCAAAAAGGCGGTTACAGCGCCAAAGAAAAAGAAGAAGAATAACTCTACAGATGGATATTGTTGTTTCTATGTGTGGTCCTTTCTTTCAGGTGCAAAAGATTTTTAGGAGATTAGGAGGCAAAACGAATCGAGACAGATATAGACAAATGTATACATAAATTATCAGAATGAAAAGATATATCCATTAAGCGGTGACTGTCTGTCCGTCCGTCCGTCTGTGCACACGATAACTCGAGTAAAAATTTATATATCTTAACGAAACTTGGTACGTGCACTTCTGTCAGGTGTAGGACGGATGGTATTGAAAATGGGCAAAATCGGGCAATAACCACGCCTACCTTCCATATAACAGTAATCTTTAGAAATAAGAAAACTGCGATATTTTAGTAACTTCTGAAGATTATTCACTCAAAATTGATATTTACAATAATATTTAGACGAAAAACATGAATATTATAAATTTTTGGAAAATGGGCGTAGCCACGCCCACTTATGGTTACATGTGTATATCTTGGTAACTGCTGCATTAATTTCTTCCAAACTTGGCACGTTTGTTGGCCTTGGAACAACATACCAAAAGGCCGAAAATTTTTAAAATCAGACAATAATCACGCCAAGAATACGTTACTGATAAAATTTTGGAATTTTGATCACATATATGTATCTCGGTAACCGTTCTACCAATTTGTAGCAAACTCGGTATGGTTATTGTGCTTGCCACATAAAAGCAAGACGTTGAAAATTATTGAAATCGGACAAAAATTACGGCCGATTTTCATATAACGGTAAATTTCAGAAATGCTTGAAACTTCATATTTCGAAATTTAAGGACGCTAATTTACTCAAAATTGATGCACCCCGGCTTACCATGTAGGGATACTTGTGCCGGGTATTTAATGTTCGGCTCCGCCCGAACTTAGACTTTCTTGCTTGTTTTATATATTTTAGTTAAATGCAGATCAGTCAGTCGCTGCATGGTTAAGGAATGGTCCAGTACATTGTTGTTGGAAACTTTGTGGTTAGATACACTTAAAGTGTAAAGTAAAAAGCTACTCCTGATTTAGCATATGATATGATGAAAAACTTTGTAATGTGGGAGATTTAAGTGTAGGTTTTTTTGAATAATGTAAGTTTCTTGTAGCATTATGATGTCCGGCTTATGTCTGGAAACCAATAATTCCATGTTCCATTCCAATAATGTTTGTTGTTGATAAATCCTTGTATACTCCACTTTAGTATTACATACAAAGATTAAGTGGAGATTTTGATTGTTTCTTATTAGGAAACTAAGTGTTCTGTGTCGTTTGTTTATGTAGGAATATAATAGTTACTCTCTGTACTAAGACATGTTAAGGGGGATACATCTCTATGAGTTTCTGTCGAGTGGTTTGTTTCATTGTTATTATTGTAGTCAATTGATGATGCTGTATTTGAGTTTTTGTTTGTAGTAGTTGTGGTGGGAGATGAGTATCCCCATAGCGAGTTTCATGCGTTAGTCACTTTAGTGTCTAGTACGGCCATGTTAAGTCTTCAATGCCTTTGGGCTACGTTCAAGCGACAATGTCCTGCAATGAATTTTTATAAGTGACCGCGGCAAGTCATTGCCTGTTATAAGTATTTGATAGGAGTACACTTGCATGACATTTTCACCAAAGTCGTTGTCAGCTATATGTCGTTTAGGATTCACAGCAAGTGCGAGGATATCACTAAATCCTCATTAGTGACGACGTCACCAGTAAACCATTTTCGCTACTGGGATATATTTGATGAAAGTAAATACATATGTGTTTGTAATTGAAGTAATGAATGTTGTGTATGTGGTTTAGTGTCCGCTGTATGTGATGTACATATCATCCCGTTTTTCGCTTGAGTAATTTTTTTTTTGGTCTGAGTTATGTTGTAATATCGGGGAATGGTACCAGTGCTTTTTTATAAGGTTATTTTTATATTATTGTTATCTTTGTCTGGTTCCTTTGATTGAAGGTTTGTGCTTGATGTTTTAGTTAAACGATAAACGATTTAATATATCGCATAAGATCTTCAAAAGTGACACAACTCAAAATTACACGTTAGTCAGAAATTGCAAAAAACTATTTCGTAGCACATGCTAATCATATGGGCAAGGGAAACTACCTTAGGTTTTTCAACAAATTATAACAAAAATTTTCTCCAGCTTTTGCTCATTTTTAGTGCATTATTTTAAAAATGCCAAATTTTGAGTTGTATCACTTTTGAAGATCGTGTGCGGTATGTAAGCTTTTTTACCCTAATGGATGCAGCTCAGTTATATTCAGTTTGCGCAATTCCTCCAGCGTATACCGCGCAGTTCCACCCATTAAGCCGCCACGTTCCAGCGTAGGTCGATTTACGATCACTATCTCCCCGTCCGCAGTTAACCCGGCTTCCAGCAGCACATTTCTATAGCCACGTGCAGCACACTGAAACACAAACATATTTGAATATCCGTACGCATGTTTAACAAAGGACAAAAGCCGGCAAGTATTGATTTTTCAAGACTCTTATGATATGACGTCACATTTTGATTATAGAAATTACCTTCTTTATTGCAGCTCTAGAGTTTTCGGGCGCATCATAGCCAGCACCACGATTAGCTATGGGCCAATATGTTAGTTCTTCCGGTGCACAACCGCCCAGCAAACTAAATAAGCGTTTTTCATTGGGGCTTCGCAACTTTGCAAATTTGGAAGCCACACAAGCGACCAGCAATACTAATGTCAACCAGGGAATACACGCTGAAGCGAGATTACAGGCGAACCAGAAAACATTAAAGAGCACTGAGAGTAGGCGCGCCAGACACCAAAGCAATTGGTAGAGCATTTTCAGCAGAATCCACAGTACGTTTAAAATTCTCATTCAGCTGCGCTGTAAAGTTTTTTAGTTTACATTTTTAAAATTTACTTTTTTTTAACTTACCTGCTACACACAAAATTTTGCTAACGCTGCCAAAATTCTTTCTAAAATGGGGCAGAGTAAACTCGCCACTTCCACTAACACCCGGTCGATCGTTGCGCTGCCAACTTCAAACCACCCAATTCTTCCCACCTCTTTATCTTAATTTTTCTGCTTTTTGTTGTTGTTAATAGCTACATATGTATGTATGTATGCATTCGTACCCCTTAAATTCACGAAAATTGTGCAACTTTTAATATCGTCAATAAAGCATGAAAGCTATTATTATGTTTCCTATCTAGGATATTCCGCTCAGTGAAGGCTTTCCGCGCACACCTCGCCCACATTTACCTACGCGGGAGTAAAAAAAATTTAGATAGTAAAATTTTGTGTTGTTGTTTTCAAAGTTTGAATCGTCTAATAAGAACTGAATATCTTGCGAACAGACATGGCAAACGGGTCTAATAAGAACGTACTAGGATACGAAAAGAAATTGCTCGATAAAGATATCTAAAGTATAAACATATGATTTTTTCGCTTGGCGCCCATTAGTAGGGTGTATTTGTTTTTTAGGTGCATAATTATTAATTACTCCTCTGGATCGTAATCCATATTAATGGACTGATGAATCGGGCACGAATCACAGTTGCCACTTGTTAAAAAAATAACCAACCAAAATCTGAAGAAAACCCCATCAAATTGAAAAATAATAGGCAATTTACATGATTCAAATTTCGCAGGCGATTAGTTAAACCAAAAGTTGAAGGAAAGTAGGCAGCCGACCAACTTCATTGAAAGCGATTAGTTGAAAGGCCGTTTACACCAGGCGATTGTTGCTTTCAACTAAAAATCGCCTGAAAAATCGCCTCATGTAAATTCCGTACAAACAACCAAACTTGTCATCGGGTCTGTTCGAGGCACGTAATAAAAGCGGCATTACTGCCGCACTGATGAAAATTTGCAACACTACGTTCTTCGTCGCTTCTTATACATTTACGTTCTTTGTCGCTTATACATTTACGTTCTTTGTAATTCTTCAACCAAAGTGTAAGTGTACCTTTATTGTACAGTACGGTTTGAACAAATATTTGATAACGACAAGAATGAGAAGCAAAACCTGCTCAGCTGTGAAGTTGTCGCTAAATTATAAGCGAATGATAAGGATCACTATAAAAACAACTCCGAAACAGCTGAATGGGAAGCGCCTTGCAAGAAACTGTGATAAAGCAGAATACAAAAGAAAATTGTGCACAACCGTAGTTGTAATTTTTTTGGAGAAGTTCATGGGTGAAGTAATGAATTTATAAGAACGCAATTAATGGAAAAGAGTCTCTTTCTTTAATCAAATAAATAAATAAACACGTAATTTGGTTTAAGTTTTAGGAAAACTACAACTATAATCATCAAAATGCCACTCAAGGAACGCAATATCGCCATGATGGGCTACAGCTCTGTTGGTAGGACGTCAGGGTCACACACTGCTAAATTTTGCAAAGAGCTTTAATATATATAAAAAAAAAAGATAAATAAAATTACATAAATTTTAGTACATTTGCATGCATGATTCAATAATAATTATTATTATTGAATCATGATCTGCATGTACGTCCTTAAATAAATTATCGAAATCTGCACGATATGTGTACACTCTTGGAGTCAAATTGCCCATCTATGTACATACATACATCACCTTTGCAAACTGTGGGGTTTTAATTCATACTTGTAGATTTCATATATTGTCTTTAATTGTACTTGATTTTCACGTTGAATNTAAAAAAAAAAGATAAATAAAATTACATAAATTTTAGTACATTTGCATGCATGATTCAATAATAATTATTATTATTGAATCATGATCTGCATGTACGTCCTTAAATAAATTATCGAAATCTGCACGATATGTGTACACTCTTGAAGTCAAATTGCCCATCTATGTACATACATACATCACCTTTGCAAACTGTGGGGTTTTAATTCATACTTGTAGATTTCATATATTATCTTTAATTGTACTTGATTTTCACGTTGAATTTTGTGCTAATAATCGATGTCTAATATGTTTTTCTTTTGGTTGTTATTGAAGGCAAATCATCACTATGTATACAATTTGTTGAGGGTCAGTTTGTGGACTCGTACGATCCAACAATTGAAAATAGTAAGTATGAATAAGCTAGTAAATAATTAAAAGGTTAGAGTTGAGTGGACAAATAAGTTGGTACTAAAAGTAAACGTATACATATAGGTATGTGTATACATATATACATATGTTATTTGCTATTAAACGCGTCTTATTATGCAAATCNAAGAAAGTCAGAACAACAAGAAATATACATGTATATCCTGTTTTTGGCCATCCGAAAGAATTTTAAAAATTCTATAAAAATTTTTTATGTTTGAAATGCAACCGTGGACGCCAGCTGGCAGCGAAACTTGCAAATTCCTGCAAATTTGCGTTCGTGCAGAAATTTGCAAGTTTCTCAACATGAGAGAGAATTTGAGAGAATTTTTTCTTACTCTCTGATATTTTGAGTGTTGGATAATTCTTGCTGGATTTTCGACGAACAAACCTATATACATATGTTATTTGATATTAAACGCGTCTTATTACGCAAATCTCTTTTTATTCAATTTCTAGTGTTATCGCTAGTACTAGTAACCTCAACAATGTGTAAATGAAATAGGCGCGCTAACGCTAACNGGACAAATAAGTTGGTACTAAAAGTAAACGTATACATATAGGTATGTGTATACATATATACATATGTTATTTGCTATTAAACGCGTCTTATTATGCAAATCTCTTTTTATTAAATTTCTAGTGTTATCGCTAGTACTACTAACCTCAACAATGTGTAAATGAAATAGGCGCGCTAACGCTAAAATACGATTAGCTCTAATAACTAGTGATATACCTGATATACCAAGTCACATAGTACCGATGACAATTAGGTATACATACGCATTTAAATGACTTCATCGGTTTTGTGAATTTCGGGGTTTTTGGTAAACATGATTCCTACATATAATGTTGATTATGTTTGCCAAGCATGTATGATCACTCATGAGTCATGAGAGACCATATCAGAATTTCTCCGCCAGTGGCCGTTTTACTTTCAAGCGACAATTTCTCAAAGTCTGCATACAAAAACATATTACGCAGTTTTGTGATTAATCGGCCCTATTATGGTTGTCGATATTCGCATTCGCATCAAATGATACGAATGTTTGCGATTGCCAGCGTTTACATGGGCAGAGAGTCTTCTCTAATCTATATATAAATACGCCACAAAAAAATTTTAACTGTTTTTAGGGCACCGTTCGCTCGATTTCAATAAAACATATACCGATTTAAAGCATATAACTTTTCCTAATTTAGAAATGGTATTCCCGTTACGTAGGGGGCGTGGCATCTGACATACAGGCTAAAATGTGAAAACCTATATATCTCTAAAGAAAGTTACGCTGGGGAACTGAAACTTGACAAGAATGCGTAAATTGGAAATACCCTACTTATGGCGAAATGTAGTATATTTTGTGGCACCTCCTCAAACTGAAATTCGTACATCGCATCATATGTTATCAATACCGCACTTACGGCGAAAAGTGCCGGATTTTGGAAAAGGGGGCATAGCACCTCTGCTATAAACTGAAACTCTCACATAATTTATCTCAGGAACCGCTATGTTAGGGTCATTAAATTTGCCACAGCATCATACGTTATCAATGCCGTAGTTACGGCAAAAAGTGGCAGAATTTTAGAAAGGGGGCGCGTCATCGCCCATATAAACTGAAATTCTCATATCATTTATCTCTGAAACCACTTATGTTAACGTCCTGAAATTTGCCACAGCATCATACGTTATCAATACCGTACTTACGGCGAAAAGTGGTAGGTAATGGAATGGGGGACTTGGCACTGCCAATACAAACTGAAATTTTTATATCGCCTATCTCTGGAACTGCTTATGCTAACGTCCTGAAATTCGACACAGCAACATATCGCACACCGTCTTCAAAAGAGTCACAACTCAAAATAATACATTTGTCAGAAAATGCGAAAAACTATTTCTTAGCACATGATAATCATATGGGCAAGGGCGACTTTACCTTAGTTTTTTTTTTATCAAATTATAACAAAGATTTGCTTCAGCTTTTGCTCAAAGGTAAATAAAAGCTCGGTGTACATTTTTAGCGCATAATAATTTTGAGTTGTGACTTTTGAAGACGTTGTGCGATATGTTATTAGTACCGTACTTTCGGCGAAAAGATGTGAATTTTGGAAGAGGGGGCGTGACACTTCCCATACAAACTGAAGTTCTCATATCGCTTTTCTCTTGACCCGCTTATGCAAACATCCCGAAATTTGTCACAGCTAAGTAGGTATTTATGATATTAATAATGTACTTATGATGGAAAGTGGCAGGAATTTAAAAAGGTAGCGAGGAACTTCTATTCACACTGAACTTCTCATATCGCTTACCTGCAGGTACATGTGTAACCGCTTATGCTAACGCGCTGAAATTTGATACAGCTGCATATATGTTATCATTACAGAACTTATTGCGAAAAGTGAAGTGTGTTCGAAAGGGGAATGAGGCATCTCCTATACAAAACGCAATTTGCATACCGCTTTTATCTGGAACCACTTATTCTAAGGTGATGGAATTTGATACACCTTCATCTATTTACATATAATATATAATAACAAGAATCATTCAATTGGGAACCATTTTGTACCAGATTTCTATATCGCATTGAATGATTACAATTTTGTTCAATGGCTTTTAAAAGGATCAGTGTGTTTGTCTTTCGCTTGGTGCAACAATCTTGACAAAACCTCGATTTAAGCCGCCGTTAGAGAAGGAAATATTATATTTTTCAGTTTCAGTTTTTTTTTTTTTATATAGATAGCATGCAGGACTACATTTAAATACATTTGAAGTCAAAAATCGAAATTTTAAGANCGTTAGAGAAGGAAATATTATATTTTTCAGTTTCAGTTTTTTTTTTTTTAATATAGATAGCATGCATGACTACATTTAAATACATTTGAAGTCAAAAATCGAAATTTTAAGGTAGTTTGTTTATATAATCTACAGTACATCTACTTTTCCCTACATATTTACATGTCTTTTATTTTTATTTATTTAGTTTTTGTTTCTTTTTTCCTTAGCATGTTTTTTCGACTGTTATTGTTTTAAAAATATAGTTTGCTGCTAAAACTTTCTGTCTATTTGTACTTAGTGCATAAAGTTAATTTATGCTTCCAAATATTTTGTATCTTTACTTCCTAATAGGCAGTTTAAATAATTGAATTTTTTAAAGAGGACATAAGGGTTCCTTTACTTTATCAAAATGTGCGCATTCAAAAATAACATGGTTTGTTAACATAAATTGTTCAACACATTGGAGCAAAGTTGCCAATTACTTGGGAAAAATTCTAGTCAAAAAAGTATATTCGGATGTTTTCTGCGCTTTTCTGTATATTGAGATTAATCGCTATACATAATACTGGTAGCCATGGCTACTAGACCAGCAACTAGACCCCAGTTGCCATACATAAGAGGGCCATTAAAGAAAAACGAACGCACCTCGGTGGAAATCCTCTCGATTGGTGGAAAACTAAACCAAAATACGACAAATTGACAGATATGTAGCTCGTTTCTGTAAAACTTCTCTACCAAGGCGAATTGAGATATGAATTTGCCGCCCTGTTCTCTACTCTTTAACTTGATACCCATATTGTAACAATTCATTAATTTTATAAATATAATTGAGTTTAAAAATTTTTAAAATAGGTGGCAACCCTTCAAATTTTTGCGATGTCATTGGTTCTGGTATTAGGTTCATTCCTTATCTTTTTGGACTAAAATCTGAAAAGTGTCAAAATGCCAGAGCGTAAGCAAAATGCGCTCACTAAAAGAGAATAACAGGAAAAGTAAAGGAAGGCAAAAATCCAAACTTTTAGTGCAAAGAATGGCAACAACAAAACTAACATCAAATAAGAATGGAAATGTTTGTACAAAACACATTCACACAAGCACTTGCTATATCAATTATTTTTTTGCCTACTTCCAATTTCAATTCACTTTTTTTACTTTTTAGATTATTCTCACTTTTTGCGTATTTTTTAATTTCCGTTAATTTAAATTCAGTTGAGTTTGACACTTTTCTGGATTTTGCCAGAAAAAATTCTTCTGACTAAATCTGACTACTTCGGACTGAAGAGTCACTCTTATTGAGTGTTGCTCTCTCATTTTTGCTGTCATTAGGTTCGTTCGCGTAGCTGTTAATTGTTCATGTTTAACCAAAACTTACAAGTTTTTGCGTTCGCGTACGCAAAAAACTTGCAAAGTAGGGGAAATTGAGAGAGCAAAGTGACATTTCATTTTGAGGGGAAGCTGCTGGTTTCTGCTGGAAAAATTTTTGCCAACAGCAATTTGCCAACAGGAAAACAGCTGATCAAAAACAGCTGGTTGGCATTTACGCAAATCACAAAATTGAATTTGATAGTTTGGAAGTTAAAAATTACAAAATGCGACTAATTAAACTTGTAAGAAATAAGTAGTTATTTGTTTAATCAATAAACTGTGTCAGTATAACACTTTGCGATGACTTTTCGTACGTTTTAAATTTTACACTTTTGTATGTAAACAAAAATTATATCAGCTGTTCGTCTAACTTGCAAGTTTCTGCAAATTTTCTGTTCGCGTACTATTTTGGATATTTCTCTCTTGTGAGCGAACAGATGACATTTCGCCGGAATTTGGCAGTTGGTTGGTTTCTGCTGGAGATTTTAAACGAACGCACCTATTTTCGAGTTAAGGAACGCTTTTTGGACTAAATCTGACTACTTCGAACTTGTTCTGACTATTTCTGGGAGATAAGGAACGCAACTGTTATACCGAATAATAAAAAAATATATTCAAATCGGTTCAGCCGTTCTCGAGTTTTGATGACCGTGACAACACATACATAGAAGATGTCCAATGTGTGCTCTCGATTTTAATCTTTGACCACACCAAAAATTCCACATTGTACATTCATGAATGAACTTTCAGTTTCTCGATTAACTTTACAATTCCTTTGAGTAATTGTAAAAACTAAAGTACTCTTGCAATTCCAGGTAATGGAATTGAACAAAAAAATCAATTTTACTTTCAATTCCTTTCAAAGGAATTGGAAAAAAAATTACATTACTAGCAAGTAATTTATTCCAATTACAATATGAAATTCCTTGTAATGGAATTAAAAAAAAAAAAAAAAATANAATTTATTCCAATTACAATATGAAATTCCTTGTAATGGAATTAAAAAAAATAAATAAAATAACTTTTGNAAATAACATTTGAAATTACTTCAAGGAATTGAGAAAGTAATCGATTCCTTTGCTGTGGACTGAAGGAATTGATTCCTAATTACAATTCCTTGTAATTTGTAATTGGGAGTAATTTAATTCCTAAAGGAATCATTACGACCCAGCTCTGGTTCCAAGTGAGCAATTTTTCAGTGCAGCCGGCCTTATATACGAGCCTCTAAGAAATCGGCTCAGGTGGGAAAAGGCAGCAAAATTACATTATTTTGAAATATCATATGCCCCTTTTGAACTTTGACCTCTAGACTTAATCACTGTGCGTAACCTAGCACTCGATCAATGTTCTAATACTCATTTACAAAATTTTTAAGTAATAAAAACGATGACTTAAGTTGATTATAGCTTTTTTAATATTATTCCTAACATTCGCATTCGCACAATCGCATTCCGAAAGTTCGCATTCGCGAATGTGAAAAATATGACATTCGAAACATCCTTAATGTACATACTTAAGAACATATGGCAAATTTACTAAAAAAAAACTATCGCAACCCAAAAACTTGATTTTGCAGATGTTTTGTCTATTAATCTTTTAATATTTAACTTTTTCTTTTATTTTTATAAAAATATAGTTCATTCTATAACAAAAAACATAAAACTCCAGGTTCCAAACTGCGAAGAGATGTTTCGAGTCGTGAGGGGTCTTTCCGCATGCCGGACATTCATTCGGCACATCCGCATTTAGCCTACTCAGGTAGGAGTTTAGCCTGCTGCAATAGCCAGAGCGAAGTTGGGCTATTGTTGTTCTGGTCTCCCGAGGCAGATGGAGCTCCGTCGCGTCAATGACCGGTGTTTGTGTGCCTAGAACGGCATTCACAGGTCTAGAGTCTACATAACTCGAGACTGCGTCCCTGTGAATGCCGTTCAGGGCCTGTCTGTGAGAGCTAACTTTGTTGTTGCTTTCACATGCAAAATTCTTCTTTAGGTGCATTCTTTTGCAACCGAGCTACAAAAAAAAACACTCGCTTAAATNTAATAATAATAATAGATTGGCGCTTACACATATGTTAGTGTTTGGCCGAGCTTCTCCTCCGATTTGTGGCGTGCGCCTTGATGTTGTCACACAAAGCGGAGGGACCTACAGTTTTACGCCGACTCCGAACGGCGATTGTATTTTTATGAGAAGCTGTTTTTCATGGCAGAAATACACTCGGAGGTTTGCCATTGTCTGCCGAGGGACAACCGCTGTTAAGAAAAAACCTTTTTCTATATTTTTTGGGATGTTGCTTTGACCAGGGCTTGAACCCAGGTGCTGATGTGTGAAAGTGCGCACTGCTTACCACTACACCACAGCGGCCGTATACAGTATTATAGACTAGAAATTAGGCTAAGTAGTATCACAAAATTAATAAAATGTAGAGTGGATACAATTATGAAAAATAAGTTCCGAGGGATGACTTAATAAAACTTCTAGGAAGCGAAAAATCGGTAACTAAGTCTTTGAGATGTTATTATTATATTCTGCAAGGCTTCTTAAAGTAGTCGCAAATAAGTTAATAGTAAAAAAAATATTTTTGAATAAAAGCTTCCTAAATATGAACGAAATTGGACCATAAATACTGGTTTACCGAATATCTCGATGTTGCACCATGTATGGGCAAAATTTTTTTATGGAGTTATTGCTTTTCTTCTAATTAATAAACGCTCTAAATCGGATTACAAATACGGAGTTTTCAACTATCTCGACTCCTGCGCCAACTATCGGATTTAGTCATCTTTCGTATTGCATTGTCATCGGGTTCTTAGCCAACTGTGAAGTCTCTAGGTCATCCAAACAAACAAACAAACATACATACAGAGCAAGTCAAATAAAAATAAAAATTAGGGAAAATGAATTAGCAACAAGAGTTTACGGGATGTACATAGCTCAGTGGTTAACGCTTCTGACTTTGAACATCGAATTCGCAGGTTCGATCCCTGCTGAAGTCTAGAAAAAGAAGTCTGATGAGGAGATGTGGTGATCTCCGAAATAGTGCTATAACTTCTACCGCTTAGACTTTGTTGCTTTTTCAATTTTTCCTAATAAACAATCGTGGTACAAAGCTCAATAAAAATATTAAAAAAATAAAATGTTAACAAGCCACAATAACATTGACAAATAAAAATTAGTAATTAGAATGATTTCAACCCATATTTAAGAATCTATGGATAAGTATTAGAGTGTTCCGGTGTATTTAAAATTTGGTTTTAATTTTCAGCATTTACAAAAGTTGCGCGCGTCAATTCGCAGGACTACGACGTAAAAGTGGTCGACACAGCTGGTCAGGATGAGTACAGTATATTTCCTGTGCAATATAGCATGGACTTTCACGGCTATGTGCTTGTCTATTCCATAACTAGCCAAAAGTCGTTTGAAGTCATTAAAATCATCTACGAAAAGTTATTGGATGTAATGGGGAAAAAATAGTAAGCAAAGCAATACAAAAATCAACTTATTAGATAGTATATTAAATAAGTACTTAAAATATTTTTACTAAACACATTTTTGCATAGTGTACCTGTTGTATTAGTTGGAAACAAAACCGATTTACACCAGGAGCGCACAGTGACAACGGAAGAGGGACGAAAACTGGCTGAATCTTGGCGGGCAATATTTTTGGAAACGTCAGCTAAGCAGAATGAGGTAAAATAATGAACCGTTAGTTTAACTGAAATCATTAATATCTTTCCAATTCCAGTCTGTTGCAGACATCTTTCATCGGTTATTAGTATCAATTGAGAACGAGAATGGCAATCCACAGGAGAAGAGTAATTGTATTATCTCGTGAGAATCCAATGTAGACGTAAGCTACCGGCCACATCCACAACAACAAAAACGGTTTTTACCAATTGAAGCATCAACACACAATGAAACGCCAACAACTGTTGCACATCTAAACCTAGAGATATCGCAGCTGTTTTATCCGTACGAATTATGGAACAAACGATGCATGAAACAGCTGGTGCAGTGTTTTGTAGGCGTGGTCGTGGTAATGTTCGCTTGGATGTGTATGTGTGAATTAAATGAATGCATAGGTGAAAGTGTTTGTGCGAATTTTTCTTATATCCCCAGAAAGTAGTTTTCAAATTAATCAGCCTTATCATGAGTTTCATTTTCGCCGCAAATCATTAGTTGCGTTCCAGCAGTAGTACGAATAGCAGGTTTTGCAGGATTTACAGGAGCAGCTGTTTTCGCCATTAATAAACCTTATGTAAGGTGTCATGCGGGAACAGCTTCCTGTAAAATCCTGTAAATTCCTGCTATTCGTACTGCTGCTGGAACGCAACTATTAACTTTTCTCTTTTCGCTCATGTGTATTCACTACGAGTGAATGAAACAATTTGGGGCGAATTCGTTTTTAGCGAAACTCAGGATAAGGCTGAATGTGTCAGCAAGCGCATTGATAAGTTTCGTTTAATGAACATTTAGCGTACCTTCCTAGAATATCACAATTTAAAAATTCAAATTATTCCTGAAAAACTATAATTTTTACCTTCCTTTTATTAGCGCGGGATGTAACGATTTCTATTCTCAAGTTACATACCTGATGACAGTACGAATGGCAATTATAATAGGGAGGTTTTAGTTTTTTAGACTATAATTTTTTTTTATTTAAGCAAAGGTTGGGCGAAATAATTCACTTTGATTTGATTTTAAAGAATATTTACAACTTTTTGTTGTTTTTCTTTTCAACTGTGAGCTGGTTTCCATTAATTCTACTGTGGATAAAAATTTAACTTATCATTGTTTTGATATGCTGTTTTCGCTGGATTATTTTTTATTTAAGTAATTAGTCTTTTGTAAAAATGTGTTACGGATGTAAACCAGTCAGCCATTATAAAAAAGCTATTCGGGAGTAATTTGATTTTAGTTACAAAGGAAGTTGAAGTTAAGCATAGAAATACATAAATAAGCATTATAATGAATCTAAGAAGGACATAAATAAAACAAAAACAATAATAAAGCTTTTGTTTCAATTGCAATACTTAGCTATAATTCTCTTACATACAATTTTAGCATTGGATTAGTAAATGTGAACCCTTTAGAAATACTTCGATGTATACATTCGTTGGTTGAGAAAAAGTTACCTCACTTCCCGTCAGGATTATGCGAAATTTCAAACATTTAGCGCAGTTTCACACGCTCCGGCTAACCGGCAGGCGGTTCGCAGGCACAATATATTTTCGAAGGGTTTATGTAAACATTTAAGCATATTTAATTTCTTTTTGGTAACAATAAAAATAAAATATTGGCACAATTAATTGTTACTAATGTAAAAAAATAATAAAGTATAATAACCCTAGACTCTTCGAGCTTTGTTGTTGTTGTTGTATCAGCATACAAATTCCGAATACAGGGTTTTTAGGGAATGGTGATGGGGTGACTTAGGCCCCTATTATGGTTCACAACTCAACTTAGTTGAGTTGTGTCTGAGACAACTCAACTCGTATTCTATTTAATTACTTGGCTAATTGGATTCTAATGAATTTGAAAGTATTTTTGGTTATTTAAATGTGTGAGCTGAGTGTGTTTACATACAAAATAAGCAAAAATTTACAACCAAAATTTGGAGGTTATGTTGAAGTTGACAGAAGTTACCATTTTTTACTAGAAAGCGATCCCGTCTTTTCAATGTTACTCTCTCGCTCTGAGCGAATTTTTATTTTTTGACAGTTTTACTACACCGTTTCCAACAGTATTTAAGAAAAACACAAATGTATTTCAGAAAAGCACAAATGTATTTCAGAAAAGCATAACTGTATTCTAAAATTATTTTTCTGAAATACATTTGTGCTTTTATGAAATACATTTGCCCTTTTCTGATATACATTTGCGTTTTTCTGAAAATAATTTGAACTTTTCCGAAAAACAATTGTGTTTTTTTGAATTTCATTTGGCTTTTTCAGAAATACATTTCCTTTTCTGAAATACATTTGAGGTTTTCTGAATAAAAAACATAACATAAAAGCAAAAATTGAGCTGTTTCCTGTTAAAATACTTGTAAATATGTACTTGAATGTAAAATAGCCTATTTTCTAAATTTTTTAAGCCATTAAATATGGCAAAAATACATTTTCAAAGCTATCTTACAAATGCTTATATCAAGATATAAAGAGCCCACACAAATATTGCTACAGATATAACTTATATCTAGCCACCAAAATGACAGCTGGGCAGCAATAAATTTAATCACGTGGAGACGGCCCATGAACGAAAGACACAAGATCACGCGGGAAGGAAAGAACGAAAAAAGTTATTTTCTAGCTGCCGAAATCTCGACGCCATCTTTGTTGTAAGAAGTAAACAACGAAGAGAACGGAGAAAACCGCGAAATTGTTGAACGCATGAAAAATCATTTTTATTATGCAAATTCTTCTATAAATCATGCCGTTGTGTTAAATTATTCTTTATCTTATGTGTACACACGTTGTCACAAGCGAAAATTAAGAAAATTGCAGTAAAAAGCCACCACCAAATTGTAAACAACGAAGAAATGTAAACAAACGGCTAATGTCAAAATCGTTAAACTTTTTTCCTAAATGCGAATCTAACGGGCTACTCTCCTGCCCGCGTGATCTTGTCTTTTTGGTTCATGGAGACGGCCAGTAACGATTCGAGCCCGGATTGTTGCGGAGCGGAATGCGGAAACGTAATCGAAATGTAGAATAGGGATGCTTACATGAACGAAAGACACAAGATCACGTAAGAACAAGAAAGTGAAAAAGTCGATTTTTTAGCGGGTTCTACGCCATCTTGTTTCACTGGAAAACGAGCGAAAAGTAAACAAAGCAAAGAAAACAACGAAAACCAAAATTAGCCAAAATTATTGTCAGCCACTTTAAACGCACAATTTAGGTAAAATGATGCAACAAAATGCTTTAAAATGTGTTGTCATGTTGAATTAACTCTTCTTTACGTGATGTAAACAAACGCTCAGCTGACGAACCCGCATTCGCAAACTTCTCAAAACCAGTTACAAATACAACGTCGCGTTCTTACGTGATCTTGTATTTTTGGTTCATGGGATGCTTATATCAAATTCCGGACAGAATGGTTGCTTCCATAATTCAGGTACTTGGTAGCTCTAACAGATGACTCATAATTAATTTTCATTCGTACTGTGTTTTTAACTGTCATTCTGCACAAAGCGCAACACAAATATATAGCGCTCTCTTTTTTTCGCATTATTTATTTCCCACTAGGCAGTATATCCGCTATGCTTGCACCCACCACAAGCCTTGCCAAAAGAGAGAAGTTGGCGAAATTTTAAAAAAAAATGCAATTTTCGAACGTACATAGACGAAAGTGCTGGCGTAGGGAAGTGTAAAAAGGCTTGACAAGAGTGATCAAAAACATTTATCAACCTAACAAATAAAAAATTAATAAATTACATTCGGACTACAAAGCAGCTTGTCATTAGTTAAAATATAAACGCGTATAAATATACTAAATGCGAGTCGAAGTTGCTTTGGTCTTTGTTTTTTATGCTGGCCAAATACGAGTATCGTTAAAAGGGCTAAACTTTTTCTATTGTTTGTTGGAAATTCAGTTATGAGTATTTAAGTTTTTGCGCAGTGCAAACGTTAGCGCTGGATTCGATGAGCAATTCCAAAAAAGTGTAAAAGAGTTGTATACCTATATATCTATATTAAAAAAAGTGTCAATAGTTAAGTGCAAAGTACCTGCGCCAGTGTTTCATCAATTACCGTCGATTTTTTTGCCTCTGTCCTGGAGCAATATCGGCTGCAGTTGCTCTCAAGTTTTTCAGCGTTAAGGCGTTCGGGTAAAGAATCGGTTTAATCGTGAACTTAGTCGAGTCTGTCTTCCAAACCAGTCAACTAAATAGGGTTAAACGGCTTAGCACTCGTTGTAAGCGAAATACGCGCGGGCGGCGAGTTTTGTCTATTTTGAAGGAGTTTTTAAGTACTACCAGCGGGGCGAATACATCACCATTGACAGGAAATTTATTAGGTATGTAAAATCTGTATATTAAATATATCAAAACTTCCTTAACGGCCGATCGTTTTGTGCCTGGTGGGCGGAGCGGTAGGGTCGTGGCTCCTCCCACACCCCATTTTAGGGAGGGCATGAGCTGCCGTTTTAAAAAATGTAACTCCCAAATGATTACGCCCCTTATAGGTCTCTAGGGAGCCTTTACAAAAATTGTCAAAAAACACAATATTTACTTGCGTTTTTGCATGTTTAGAGTTGTTGATTTGGGCCTTTCCGTGTTGCCTGACAAGACGGGACCTCCAAGGGTATATAACATTTCTTGTGCAAAAAGGCGAAGACCCCAGGATCCAGAGGCTTCTATTGAAAAAGTTAATTCTGCTTAGGCGGCCTTCGGCCGCACTTAGGGATTGTAACCCTTACTATGTAGAATTCTCCTTTCTGTGTTGCTGAGGAAATTGGGCGCAACACCTTTTGCACAGAACACATTTATACGTTGCCGGCCTTCAGGAATTATATCCCTTACTAAAAGGAATTCTCCTTTCTGTTAGTTAATATTAAATATTTTATTTATTTTATTTTATGTTATAAACTTATTTGCACAATAATGAATATTCTACAAATATATTGCAATTCGCAGCACTGGCATCGGTGGCCTTCAGCTGTCCTTATTATCCTGTGAGTGGGCGTTTGCTTTTATGTTACTATAAAATTATTATTATAGAATTCGTCTAACTAAATCTACGTATTTAAGGAAGTTATACATTGCTTGAACATTGTTGAAAATGGATTTTTTTTGCAACTCGATAGGGTTGGCGGATTCTAATATTTCTTGTCGGCGAGTGGCTGCTGTTTGGCAGAGTAAAATGTGGTTAAGCGATACGAGTTACTCACAGAATGGAGTTACATGCCAGCTTAATCCGACTCAACTAACACCCCTCTCCATCTGGTCCGAACCCATCGAAACAGCTCGTTTCCTGGTCCTCCCGTTAGTTGAGCTTGACGACAATGACTGAACGTAGATCCGAAAAAGGCGGGGCTTAGTAGTGCCGCTACAACAACAACAACAACTCACAGAATGGACAGGTGTTGAGTGAAGCTTGTTGTAATAGAGGAGCATGAGGCGTGTATAGGGTCTCAATACGCGCAGGGGTATGTTTGGGTCGTTTGATTGTTGTATAGTGATGGGAGTACATTCTCCAGGCGTTACTA